TAATGCCGTTAAACCTACTCAAGGAAAATTACTTCTTTCTCAGTGTTTGTTGATGGATTACTCGTACTTTAACTTTTGTTTCTAATGTCACTTTAATCAACAAATTATTAACAAAAAAAAAGTTCGGCTACGTTCTCGCATTTTCATGGTATTTTACATTATAATTATTTTGCTTAGCGATATTATACTCTTGTTTGCATATTAACAGAAAATTATGATGTAAAACTGAAACATCCCTCAGGGCTTTTAATATTAATAAGTTTGTAAAACGTCTTTTCAGAGTTTGACGATTTAAGTCATGTTTTATCGGATAATTAGTCAAGTTTATATTTACAATAATGAAATAAATGTAAGAAAAAATACTTGGAACATTTTAATTGAAAATTTTTAGCAACAGATGGCACTAGTATAGTCAGTTTCTTTACTTTAATAAACATTTTTTATTAATAATCTTAAATGGGCTTCATCTGTCTTTTGAACTGAATATACTCAATATTACGCACAATTTGAATACTAGAAATACCAAAGAGCAAGTAACGTTTCAGAAATAAAGGCACAAGTAATACAATGAAACACTAAATTCCAACAACAAAACGAAATAAGAACTGAAATAAAACACCGCTTACTATGAATCTTGAAAAAAATCAGTATCCATTTTCCAATGAAGTTAGATTTAACAAATGCAAACGAGAGAGGAAATTAAACATGCAAGCGGAGATTCTCAATGGAGCGTCCGATACGATTTTGAGCACAGAGCATACAACATGCGAGCTCAGATACAACACAAGCACAGAGCACACAAACACAGAGTCTACAGCCCGCACCAGATGCATTTCATGGATATTGAGCCTGAGAATTGTGGACTATGGAAATACGATTTCAAATTCCGTTTTCATACTTGCAATTTCCATCTAAATGTAACTTTAAAATAATGTTATAAGCTGTTTTAATTTAGATCTGATTTAAACAAAACTAATTCAAATAATTTATTTCAATTTAACAAATATTCGTTTCACTGATATGTTATTATCTAAAAGTAGCGCCAGTGGTATGGACATGTTCTTCAACGAGACGATGGGGACATAAACAAGAAAGTGTTAAGATTGAATGTGGATGGCTACAAGGGTAGAAGAAGACTGATGAAAGTATGGATGTATTGTGTAAAAGAGGATATGCTTAAGAAAGTTGTGAATTCAGAAATGACGACTGATAGAAATGGAGGAGCAGCACATATTGTGCCTCCGTAAGGGATAAGGGCAAGTTGATTATGATTATCTTATCGGTTAACTCTTATTCTATTTTAATACAGAAATCGGATAGTTAAAAATAAATGACACGGATCGTATTACGAAAATCTTTTCTAGAACGTTTGCAGCAGGAAAATCTATACGAGCTCTAAAATTACCAATTCAATACAGTGAATTATTCAACGGAAATGTTGAAAATTCCCACAGTTCGGTTATTTTACAGATATTTCTAGTGATTTTGTTTATTTGCTTCAAGAATTAGATTAAGGTGTTTCTATAAAATAATATAAAAGGAATGCAACAAAGTTAAATACTAACACTTGTTTGTTAGTTCACATTAACACTTTATGGATCTTTGATATCTGAAATAAATGATCAACTATCTATACTATTATAAAGCGTAAACACACACTTCTTTGTTGCCTAAGATGTCAGTTTATTAGTGATACAGCATAATTTTGAACAGTCCTATTTAAATTAAAAAAATCCCTACACATACGTCACGCTTTAGGCTATATATCTTTACGCCATTAAACTGAAAGGTTAATTATTTTAGATAAGAATGTGCGAAAGAGACTATACGATACGAGCTGCCAACATCAAGAAGCAAGATTGCCATAGTAAGGTAATTGGCATTTTGACATTTGCAATTGAGAATTTGATAAATGTAAACAATAAAAGTTTTTATTATTTCATGCGGATGAATCCTCACAGGTTTATATTAATTCGAAAATAACAATTTAGTAATCTTTTCGCGTACAGTATACAACATAACTTATGTTTCTGAAAATGTCTGTAACATATTTGTAAGACTGGAACATAATAAGGTCGACGAACTATCAATTTATTTGGAAAAACGCCAGCATACTAACAGAGTTATATAACAAGGTTTCTAGGAGCAGAAGCAACATTTGGCAAGAACTCTAAATAAATCAATTCTTTGCCACCTCATATTATAAAAAAAACAATAAAAACTTAGACCAATGCAATTTATATCACAGTTAAAATAGTTTACTCAAATCTGATACATACCTTCTATCTCCGATAACTTCTAATTGGCCTTAAATTTTTTGTTTCTTTTGTTATTTTTTTCTTGTAAGTTAGCTGTAAGTTATCCTTAAATAAATAAAATAAAAATACCTTCAGTTTAAACTACACAATCGAACTGATATTTGTAGACATCTTGACTTTGTTGTTCAAAAGTTCACTTAAAAGTGTAGGTGTGAAGCAGATTTTACATTATTTTTAATTATTATAAACTGTGTCTCACGGTAGTTTAATAACGTCCTAAAGTGGCTCTTAGACGTTATTTAGAGACTAATTTCGTGGCGGTGGAAGTTCCTCGAGAATCTTATATAGTGTAACAAATGCTGAAGCTTAAAGCTCCGACATCACAATGACGTCGACCAATGATTCAATTGTCAACTTACTAAGATTACTTTGCTCTACGCTACAACAAATTGTATAAGAAAAAAATGAATTATCAAAATCGGTCCACTAGCGGCGGAGTTATGCCGTAACACACATAAAAAAAAAACATACAGACGAATTGAGTACCTCCTTCTTTTCGGAAGTCGGTCAATAATCATGGCAGAAATATTAAAAGCAAGAGACAATTAGTTACTCTAAGGTTATAAACGTATATGCTGATAAAATTTAGATAAACATCACTAACTTAGGGTAGTACGTAAATTTATATTAATTCCAACCTTAACCCTTAATTTGATAATTTCCAGTGTGACGAAGTATTTGAAAAAAAACTACCATTTCCTGCACTTATTTCACATCAAAAAATATGACTTTACTAAAAATATATTTTTTTACTTAAAAAAGACCGCTAAATTAAGTATTAAGGTAACTCTAATCATACTTAAGGTAGTCTAAAGGTTACTAATAGATCCTTGTAGTGCGTACTTACTGACGTTACGCGTTACATGGAAGTCTCCAAGTATTCAGTACATAATGCTACTGGGAAACAAAAACAACGAGTAATTATGCGAATGTTACACCCTGTAACATCATTGTGCATCTTTATTACTTGTGACAGCATTGTCCTAAAAGAATATGAGACGATATTTTCAAAAAAGATAAGAAGCTCGAGTACTCAAGAAGCGATCGTGAATACTTATTAGGTTGACATTCAAAGCGAAGCTCTTGCATTGAGAGCATGTCCCGACATGAGGCTTAAGGCGAGTGCACTTTTATGGATGGCTTTAAAGTTTTGTGGAAATATGTTGTCAACTTACTAAGAAATTATTGAAACTAAAATATTGGCTTACTATTTTTTTTCAATCAATCAGAAGGAAACGATTTTGAATTATATATAACTAACTTACGCTCTATGACTCCGTCTACGTGGAATTTAAACAGTAAAAAGCTTATGTGTTCTTCCAGCCTATGCCCTATACAGTAGAACCTCGATAAGTTAAAGTCTAAGGGAAACACAAAATGTATTAAGTTATAGAGGTTTTAAGTTAACAAGGATCTATGTTATAGGGGTTTTGGTTGGGAACTGATGGGAGGGGAACATATTATTTTTTTTAAGTTATAGAGGTTTTTATGTTATTAACGTTTAAGTTACCGAGGTTCTAATGTATCTATGTCAAATTTCAACTTGATCCGTTCAGCTGTGTAGGCGGCAAACTCTAACAAACATCCATCCATCTAAACTTTCGTATGTTTGTCACATTATTAATGCGATTTATAACATTATTAAAATTTTCATTTAAATATTAATGTTTGAATATCGAACTATACTGAGGCATTTCCATCATAGAATAATGTTTAACTAAATAGAAACTCTACCAAAGGGTTGGATGTGGTTTGAACCCTTGTTGCGTGTTGTATAACAAGTCCAATTTAATTAAATACACAAGTGGATCGGCACTAGAGTGAAGAGATTGATTATGTGTGCGAAGTCTCGGTTTACTGCAAACTGCAAGTGAATTTAAAAGGCATTGCTATTTTATTTCAACAGGCGCTTCGTGGAATAACGGGCATAATAAAATTTATATTTAACAGTGGTAGAGCCTGCTTTAACAACTTCGCACGAATGGGCCGGCTCGCCCGGTGAAATACCACGACCACACCGAAAACAGGCGTGAAGTGGAAGCAATTCCGCGTTTCGTCTGATGAGTGTGGTGCCGGAGGCCTAATTTTGGTCCCTTTTCCTTTCCACCCTTTTCTTGAGAGCAAAGTATGGGAAGGAAAAGTGGATTTGACGGTGGAGGAGATGCATAGGAAGAAGAAATGTCCTCTTTATTTGCGTCTCCTCCTCCTTCAAGAGTAGGCAACGCATCTGCAATTGCGGATGTTTATGGGCAGCGATCGCTTTCCATTTCGGTGGATTCGGGTGACCGCTTGCTCGTTTGCCACCTTATATTATTAAAAAAAATATTCACGAGTAAGTTGATGATTATTCCTTTATTGTGTGTCATAATAAACATTAGTTATAACATTGAAATAATAGTTACACAGTTAGTTGTATAAAATATATTTTCTTTACAAAACCGTCGTTCAAACATTTCTTAACTACATTAAGTAAAACCATTTTGTTAAACTAATTGGTATTAAGTCGGAGTTTAATACTTGTAATCTCTACTGGACATAGTAAATTCTACCCAAACGTGTCCTTTGTTTTGACATGCGGACTTTTTTGTCCCTTTTCTATTAATTATGATGAATAAGTTGTTTTCCGATATTTAAGAATTCGGAAACAAAACCTTATAATAGGGTACAATAAATTAAATATCATTAAAATAAAAAAAAACTGTTTATTAACAATGTTTTCGTTTTAATTATTCACATATCGGGGAATTTGTTAAAACCTTACAGCACCAGCATTTAGTTTTGTTCATTCTCTATGGCTTCTGACGGAGAGATTGGTTTTGGTCCAAACGGATACAAATCTATACTTTGCACATGGGCTCTAACCGCTACCCCGGGCGGTATGCCGAAATATTTTTTACCTATGTTTTTAATTATCGTAGTCCCCGGTTTCGTTTTGTGTTCATCGAATCCAAACTCAGCTGATTCAATGTCGTGAATTTCCCCTTCAAATTCAATATGTTTATCATTTGATTGTGAAGGTTTAAGTGGCACATAAGGTCTCTTCGTCGGTCTAAATGGCTTCCTTGTGGGACGCCACGGTTTGCCTGCAAGGTTTAATCATTACTAAGTTCTTTGTGCTCGTGATTTACGATGTGCCAGTGCTGTAAGGTGTTGGTGTAATAAAAACCAATTTGTCCGTGTACAATATTTATTGCAAGCATATGTTCATATTCCAGAGTGCACTCTCAACCTTTCGTGCTATTTGGATTGAAACTCGTGATCTTGTTTTCATAGTTAAATTACAAATGCTTTTTTATTTTGACTTCATTATACTAGCAAATTCTTCTCTAACATTCAGAAGTATCCAATCTTCATTTCCTACCATCTGTACACAGATGAACATTCTCATGGAACGGCTTACTTATATCTAGCTTAGTTAACAATGAGCGTAACTTAGAAATAACAAGATCACCAACATCAATCAGATGCCATCAGCAGTGCTATACGTTATCACCTGGTCCTGGCGTGGGTTGTGGCCCTCCGTAGCTTGAATCCTCATCGACGAAGCTGACATCTTCACTTTCTGATCCCTGATTATACGAAGGAGGTTGGAAACTTTCACCAGGTCCCTCGTTACTGCTACTTATAGAACCCGCATCGATATCGGAAGTACCGCTAGGTCTGTCTTTATCAGAAGTTGTGAATGGAGGTGGTTTAACATGGCCTGATGCCGCTGAACCATCTGGTCCTGCAATACAAATTTATTGATACCTCGACTACCCAATCTACATAAACTATTTATAAACCTTTAGATCTTTATAATATTTATGATGGATGCCAAATACAACTAACCTTTGAACACATCCTCGCCAGCACTGTCATCCGGAGTAAAGCTGGCTACACTAGGACCAATAGCCCCGTTAACAAAGTCAGGGTCGTAGGAGCTCGGTATTGTGGGGAAGAAAGGCGGTATGAATGGATCTTTGCTGTTTTTAACAATGCGATAACCGATGCCGGGACCAGCTATGTAGTTTACTGTCCTAAATATAAAAAATTAAGACATTCCATATTTATTAAATGATAGGCAACAGAGTGTTTTGTGTGAGGAACAGAAATGTTGTTTCTACGTACCTTTGAACACCTTTGTCATCCAGGAATGTGTAAGATCCTCTTACATTTCCTTGCGAGTCACTACTCTCTGATCTTCTTTGATCAGGGCCTGCTGATATAAATCTGCAGACAAAAATTAAACAGAACTTACGAAGACAAACTAACACACATATTATTTAAGTATATAAAGAATTATAACCACTAGATCAAATCAGCAGATCTGCTGATCTTATCTAGTGGTCTCGCTCGCAAGCTACTTCTATTAAAACTCTGGTTGTAAAAGTAAGCGTCAATAAACACAAATATAATTTATCACCTGTAAGATCCATCTAAGCCTCGTTGGACGGCTGTGCGACCCCGGGGACGTGTCTCGCCCCGCACTAGCGGCGCGCGATGGAAGGGCGAGCCTATCACGCTGGGATTATCCGGATGGGAAGACGACACGTGGAAACCCGTGTCACGACCCGCAACGTACGTCACGTCATGACGTTCGCCCGCGTCATCCACAAATGTATAGTGGCCTAAAAAATAAAGATGAGTATTTTGTGATATTAAAAAAAATACAATAAAACTGCCAGTTACATTGTGCAGTTAACACGTTTGAAAAATAAAAACCGACTCAAACAAATTCAATTTACATTTTTTAGATGTTCAATCTACTTTTAGAAGTAAGCAAGAAGTTTAGTCACATTTACCTCGATAAGATAGTACGTGTAAATGCCCTTAAACAGATAACAATACAAATACAGCTTTAGATAAATTTGCATAATAAAGCCTTTAACGAACCTTTAACATCGCCCCTACTGTCGGCATTTTCATTTTTCGAGTATGTTCGCGTGTCGAACTTGTAGGAGTAACTCGGGTCCTCGCTAGGGTCGAAGTAGGGGTCGTCCTTGTTCCCTATCGGGCCCCGAGGTCGTTGATCTAAGTCTATTTGTCTATGTACGTTGGGACCTTTGGCTCGGAACCTATGGAAGTCGAATGTAGAAATTAGTTGCAAAAAAAAGGTAACGACATGAGTGCGGATAAAAATCATGTCGCAAGTAGATGAAAGTACAAAGCAATTACATAAAGAATATCAGAAATTTGTTGAAAATTACTTTTAAGTTAAAATTTATTTTTCAAAAGCAATTTAACAAAAAATTCTGAAACTCACTGGGATTTTCATATAATTTTGTAAATAGTATTAATATAGTTTTCTACTCATAACAGCTGTGATGGGAAAATTTTATATAAATGTGTACTTTACCCTCTAGGTCCGGCTGTGTAGATTGTCTCTTTGACAGTATCACTGGCGGGGTCCCGAGCTCCGAACCTACCGCCTACCACGCCGTTTTGGTTACCGCGCGCTAAGTGGTAGCTACCACCTCGGTCTGTGTTTGCGTACCTGAAGAAATTTATAATTTTTACTAAACTGTTTAACTAATGATTATAAAACAGAAAATAAAATCCTTTTATATCTAATAAAATGTAGTTTCAAAAATGAATGAGTTATCATTAATGTTATGTTAAGTTTAAAACTCGTGCTTGTAAATTTAACTTTAAATTTTTGAAGATGTACTCTATCTACAAATCACAAATAACTAAAGCTTACCCAAAATCGAAAGAGCCGTCTGTATTAACATTGTTAAAATCACCATCGCTTGCTCTAGATTTGCTTGGTATCACCTGAGTCCTTACTAAACTGCACGCACACACAACATAAACACTGAAAACGGTCCACATTTTGCACATCAGTAAATTCTCATTTCACGTTGCACTGTTATGTCTAACATATGACTATGATGGTAAAAAACAAAGAGTCGTTTATATACGGCGCCAAAATGAGCGTCCAGCGAAGCTACGTCGCGAGAAAACAACCGGACGGCATTGTTATTAATGTTAGGATGGTAGTATACAACGTGATAAGCTAGACATTAGCGAAGCGATTAGTAGAAATAAACTCGTCTATAAATATCAGACTGTTTTGGTCAATTTTAACAGGACAAACTCACCATGTGTTCAATTTCTTTCTGTGTTAAATTTGACTTTATTGGTGGAGGAATGGTTTTACCAATTTGCTTTTGTTTTATTTATGTATGTAATTAATTTAGCACCCATAATAGTATGGACGTAAACCATGTAACAGGTTTTCTCTCCTTATTTAATATGGTGGAAAATACGTAATAAGACAATTAAGTCAAGATATACAAAGTTTTAGTTATTATGTTTGTATGTTTATTGTCTGTGAGTGTGCACATTCCTAAGTTAGCGAAGATGCTGCCGGCTGAAATACGAGGGTCGCGGTATCCTCTACTCCGTCGCAACCAGGAACAGAATTATATTCTATTGCTAATTTATGTATCTTAGAAAATGCGAACATGAAAAAATATCTGCAAGTTAGTTAGGTACAGTTTTAGAATCCGACTAATCATACAAAATATATTTCTACAGATAAGTACTTTGTACCAATATATTGTGGAGTATAAATTTGCATAGTGAAGTCGGAAAGAAACGGGATTCTAAGACTATCGTCATCTTCTTCCCGTTCTTATTCTACTCCCGTAAGGTCGTAGCATCAGGTTTTCGATCTCCAGGTAACTCTATTTTCCATCATCCCAGTCCTTATTTCCTTCTTGATCATTGCACCTTTCACGATTCCGTGACCCAGTGACAGGTAGAGGTAGACTCATCTCTTACTGTGTCTATGGGTAAGTTAAAAATCAAAAAATTTGCATCGTAATTGTTTAATTGAAATAGTATAGTAGGTGTTCATTATCGAGTCAATTATTACACGTCCGGTGTTTGTGAGCCTTCCGCGTGCTCCAGCCTTGGAGATGTTGCACAATGCTGTAATAAACGCCTAATTGAGACGAGATATATTTCTTAATTCACATTTCCATAACACCACGGTACTATCCCGTGATAACACTCTTATCTATAGTAATATTATAAAAAGGTAAGATTTAATTGTTTATTTGTATTTGACTTCGAAAACATTGAATAAATATTAAAAAAAATCGCCATTAGAAAGGTACAGTACTACCGAGTAACATTAGGTATATTTTACATCAACGGAAGGATATGGATACGACAGGAAAATTTTAAAAGTAAATTCTTGGCCAACCAGGCGAAGATGGGGTGGATGGTTAGTTGTTCGTACAAGCAATTGTTATAGGAACAATTTGTCAAAAAATTGAGAAAATGCTTGGGTTTTTTCTATACTCCATGAGACGAAGACATAATGGAAACAAACCCACCGATGTCCGTTCCGGTGTAATCATCTTGGATCATAGTATCGAATTGTAATCACTGAAATGTGAAACTTTTTAAAAATGACCCCTGAATCCTCATGATATAAGAGCGGTTTACATTTAGCCCATGTGTCTTGTTATATTGGACACTATTTCCATATATTTCATGTCCTTCCGTCTAAAGCATTGTATTCAAGTTTGCTTGCTCCCTTGATATATTATCATTAATTCGAATTTTAAGACCGACGCATTCTAGGGTGAATTTAGTTTTAAATGTTGTTTTTTGTTTTGTAAACTCTTATAATTTAAAATAGATTTTAAAAAAGACATGGTAATTTGGTATTAGCGTTCGTCTATATATTAAGAAAAACCTCCTGTAATTCAAGGTGATTGATTACTTTTGTATTCAGATTAACCATTGAAGAAATAGAGTTTTTTAACCTACTCTTATCATGAATTTACTACATTTTACTACACTATAGAGTAATATGTAGGTAAGTATATATGAAGGATCTAAAGGAAATTACTTTATCAATATCTGTAATGTATGGCAGGTACGCGAAAACTGACCCTTTCGACCTTATCATGATAAATGATGGCATCTTGGAGATTTATTGTTATCCTAACTGGGAAAACTATTCGAAAATTGCGGTACAATTTATTTCACTTATTTTCATATATGTTCGGAACAATTAGCTATAAAAACATGTTCAGTATTATCTGGAAAACTTAATAAAACCAATTGCAAAAGGATCGACGATTTACTAGGCACATGCATTTTGGCAGTTGGCCAAATACAAGCTGGTTTGGAGATATCGCCTTTTAACGCTTTACAGTTTGAATAGCACGTAGTTAACGAGTCAATAGTGATGCGTAGGTAAGAAGCGCTGAGGGCGGGGCTCGGGGAGATGAAGTATATGGAGGTGCAGGAGGAGGTGGAGGTCAAAAGGACGCACAATGGAGCGCGCGAAGGGCATCTCGCATCTTCACGGTGGCTGCGCGTCCGGTGCTGCTTGACCCGAAGCCTAGCGTTAGGGCTGCCGATTCTAACATCAAACACCAATTTGGTTTGCAAACGTTTGAAACGACTGTTACCCTAACCATCGTATTTTTTATAAGCCACAATCCAAAATGACTAAAGAGAGGTTAACAACATCATCATCATCTCCCCTACCTTATCCTACTCCCGTAGGGTTGACACACAGGGTTTTCAGGATAACATGTTGGTTAAAGTGTACTTCTACAATCTGTTAGTTATATTCTTTTCTTATTTATAAGCTTTCTTCCTTGGTCCTACATCATGATTTTTTCATGTTGACATACTTGTCCAAAAAATCTAAAAACAAAGGTAACATTTTGATCTCAAAATACCACATCCTTATGTTGTTTTAATCGAATAAAGTTTTTTAATTGACAACCCTAGATATTGGACGGTTTTTATAAATAGTTATATCTTGTTAGCAAGTCAATACGGGCCTTCAGTATAATGGTGTAATGAATAGGGTTGGGAGCATTGTTTTTTTATTATACAATTTTCGCAGTGATACTTACATTACGAAAGTATCTGATTTTATAGTTTGAAACAATTTTTACGACTGGCTTCATTTGTAGTTTCGCTGAACATAAAGGTTAGTGAAAGTTTAATTAATGACTGACATGCGCTCTAATATTTATTGAAATTATCTCATCTCTCAGAATCCTTTAAGTTTAGTTTGCATGATGCCATCATCAGTTTGCCCTTGTTCCTATGAGAGTCGGCACAGTATGTGCTGCTTCCATACATTTCAGTTAACAGTGGTAGTGCCCGCTTTAAGCTAAGATTAGCACTGCAGGGCCGGCACGCCCGGTGTAATACCACGACCACACAGAAGACAGGCGTGAAATGGAAGCAATTTCGTGTTTCGTCTGATGAGTGTGGTGCCAGAGGCCTAATTTAAGTCCCTCTCTCTTTACCACTTTTTTCTTATAAGGAGAAGTTGGGAAGAGGAAGTGGATTTGACGGTGGGGGAGATGCATAGGAAGGGGAAACATCCTTTTTATGTGCGTCTCCTCCTCCGTCGTATAAGGGTAGGCAACGCATCTGCAATTGCGGATATCTATGGGCAGCGGTCGCTTCGCCATTTTGGCGGTTTCAGGTGGCCGATTGCTCGTTTGCCACCTTATGTTATATAAAAAAAAAGAATGCGTGCCCTTAAGCATATCTTCTTTCACATAATATTAATTAGTAATTAAATATAATCATAGGTAGTAAATTCACCATAAACAAAGAACTTCAATCAGCTTGATCAACGAGAAGCAAAGCTTGAGAACCGTACAAAAAATCTCTAGTCTTTTACTAGCAGTCTTGTCTTGTTAGTAAAAACCGATGTAATTAATGACTTGGAGGTAAAACTTATCATGTATATTAACTTTACAATTGAATTCAGTATTCAAACGGATCCGCTAGAGGTCGTGGGACGGTATGACAATGGTTGATAGCGATCGACAATTTTGTTCGCGCTTTACGGCCCGTGCTTTATGAGTAGGAAGTCTGTCTCAAGCAATTCTAAATGCGTTTCGGAACTTGTGTGTGATAATTCATAATTATCTTTGCCACTGACAATATTACACCGGTAATTTGGTACAAGGTACGCGGGTGTAAAATTATTATTTTAAAAGATTCAAGCAAAATTAATTTTAAATCGAATTTCCTACAATTCATTCGATTTTTAATGTCCTCATACTAATACGTTTTCGTTCTCTATAGTTTCACTTCTTTCTTTTAACGTTTACTCTTATTTCACTTGCTTTCTGTAATACAGGTCCTCATTTAACTTAGGAAGCAGAACTCCAAAGATTATTATGCAACTGGTTTGATTAATAAAATGTAAGTAAAATTTATATCTAACTGCTGCAGATGTTATTTTTGATTGTTGTTTTGGATATAACAAATAAGTTTTCTGTCTTATACATTACGACTCACTCAAAGGAAAAAAGAAAAGCCTTATTAGCAGTGATCTGTGCAAATAGGATTATACTTGGTAAAGGAAGAGAAGCTTTTTCTTTGTACCGACTACAATGAGCTTGTTGATGTTAATGACAGTTAATTCTGTCTCTATTATATGTTCTAATTCTCACAACTGCCACCAACAGCTACCGTCAGTGACAAGATCGCGAAAGTTAAAAGACACGAAAAAACATATCCATTTGTAGAGGTCAGTGGTATTGGCGAGAAATCATTGATAGAAGAAAATCCTTTGCCAGAGTATAGTCAGTACCTTTATTTGGTTGTTGAATTATAATTAAAGAATTACATTGACGATAGTCATTAAAATCGGGAAACGAAAACGCGTGGGAGAGAAGCTAAGATTATGAATGTTATGGGCAAACCCTGCGAATAAATTAGATGGCCGATAACATTGTCGGGTACGAATTAACATATTTTTTTTAGTTTACTAGACTAAATAGATATTGCCTAATTACTTTTTTTCTTAATGAGAACTTCCACATATTGTCTTTGGCCAAGGTGTGAATATTAACAATGAATAACATTAAAATTGAAATATTGTATCCTGTAACTGTCTTAATTAAATCTTATTGTTGTTGCAAAGGGTATTAGTTGGCCTTAGCACGATTGTACATTTACATATTAGTTTTTAGGTTACAGCTAGGAATTATTTTTTCATTTAAAGAACAGATTTATAATATTTTCAATGGTAGATATTTTAACCATTCTAAAGCCATCTAAATAGATGATTTCTTTAGAATTAAAAAAAAGGATTCGCCCTAGAATTAAAAAAAGGAACGCCTGCAGAATATTTCACACAATGTCTCAATAAGAACTTTGCTATTTTATTTGTAAATGTTAAGAAATTGTTAATGGATGCACATTCTGAACTACAGTTTCCTATAATACATTTCCCTGTCAGGCTGCTGTATTCATGAAGATTGATGAAGACCTATCAACTATCAATACTATTGCACTCCTGGTGCTATAAGTTACAATGCAAGATTGACTTTCGGCGAAGATTATACAAATAAATTTTGGGATAAACAAGTATACTTTGAATAAACACAACACAATTTCAGTTTAATCCAACCGTGAATTTAAACTCCTTAAAAACATGTACAGACATATTGCGGAAATATTGCCACAGGCGTTATTGATTAAAATAAAACAACACAATTTATTTACAGGTTTTATTAACATTCTTATACAACTAGTATTAATCTATCAGTTCGTTATAAAGCTCAAAATTTTGCAAAAATTTTACAAAGAACTCACTGCAAATTTCCAGGACCGAAATAACAATACAAATGTCTCTATTATTTCAAAATAAATGAAAGGGACGGGAATAATGCTTAAAAATCCTAACCTTGCTTATTTGTAATTCATAGGTAATTAACTACGTGTGCAGTTTAATAGCCGTTATTTCTGTAAGGGACGGACATAAAATCTTTTTGTTAGTGGTTTTTTTACAGAACATTCCAAATGAATAACTTTTATTATCTTATTATTAATAGTTACTGAGCATCACAATATTATTTACTATAACTATGTACAAAGTACGTTATTTACTTATTCTAATTTTAATTGGCAGTAAGTATTTTTATAATATTGGTAACTTAAGTTATTGAATTCGATAAAGGCGATAATTAAGGTGTTTGGCAAAGTGGTATTTGGCAAGACATAATTGATAGAAGAAAATTCTTTGCCATAATATTGTCAGAACCTTTATGTAGTTGTAAAATTATTCAGATATTACATATCTATATCTATCTATACTATCATAATAAAGCGTAAACACACACTTCTTTGTTGCCTAAGATGTCAGCAATTACACCATATTTTTGAATAACTATTTTTTTAAATAAAAACCCTACACTTACGTCTTTAGGCTATATATTTTTACACTATTAAACTTAGGGGGTAAATATTTTGTATAAAACCCTAATGTGGGAAAGAGACCATAAGTTGCTGCCAAAATCAAGGAAGCAAGGTTGCCATGCTTTGTCATTGTCATGCAATTGATAATTTGACAGTTGTAAACAATGAAATAAAATTTTTATAATTATGTGCGAATGAAGTCGCACGGGAACAGCTAGTACTAAATAAATTACCTTCGAAGTAAGCAGTTTTTAATGTGGCAAGAGAAAGAAGTTTTGAGTTCCAAAGTTACATTCTTGTCAATAAAAGTATATTTATTTGGTATCACCCTAATTATCGCCTTTTAGTATTTTCTATAACATACTTAATTAAAAAAATTAAAGCCCAGAAGTGCCACAGTACTCGCCGATGCGATCCGATATGCATTCGAAAATATCAAAGGAAACATCACAGTTGCGACCATTATCTGGAAACAGAAATAAATATATTAACTAAATATAAATTACTTTGCACATTTCTTCGCATTAAAAAGCAAACTTTTGAAAAGTTTTTTTGACAGATAATCTTAATTCTTAATTAATTCTTCTTCTTAATGCTTTCCTTATTTTACTAATATTATAAATGCGAAAGTTTATTAGATGGAGTTTGTAGCTTAAACGGCTGAACCGGTCTGGATGAAATTTGGCATACATGTGGAGTCTAGAAGAACACGCAGGCTACTTGCTTTTTTTTTAATTTCACGCGAACGGAGTCGCGGGTGAAAGCTAGTATGTCAATAATGACTATTAAATTAAACTAAATTAAAACAAAAACATTATAATTAAATATTTTACCCATAGGTACGGCCCTGGAGAATTTGTCGTGGTTGCGCATAAGACACTCGCGGGACGCTTCCAGCACCGCCATGAAGTAGCCGCGTTCATTCACACCATCGGAATATAGGCTCACCAGACCCTCCAGCGTAGGGAATCCGTAGCCGTCAACCTGGAACATGATACAATAATGATAAATAGGAATATATTACATCGACTAACAAATATCACGCCAGAGAATTTATAGTATGTGCTGTTCGTTCCTTGTTATGTTCCTCTTCCCACTTTTATTTTTAAAATTTATCCTAAATATGCTTTATCACCAGCTCACTATACGGCCCCACTAAGGGGCGCGGAGCCTACCCTAAGTTAGAATGACTAGGCCATAGTCACTCTGGCCCAGTACGAGTTGGTTAACTTTACACATATCTTTGAATTTCTTCGCCGATACGTGCAGGTTGCATCACGATGTTTTCTTTCACCGTAAGAACGTTGGGTAAATTATGTACATATGAATTCAAAAAATCTAATATCACATTGGTACATAGCGGGATTCGAGCCCAAGACCTGATTACAAGTAGTGCTTAAACCCCTGAGCTACCGACGCTCTTAAATATACTTATGTAATGCTAATAAAAATTGTAAACACGTTTGTAAAGCCTTAAGATTTAGGTCTGCAATAACTAAAGATTTACATTAAATAAATCACGAACAATCGCCAATCAAACCAATTTATTGTCTTAACAACCCTTAGATCCCTAGATAGTTAAAAATATACAAGACGCATTGGAAATAAATCCACAGATGGAAGTATAAAAAGAATTAGACTGGTAAGGTATATAATAAATCAGCTTTATAGGTTTGTATAGGCTAGCAATAACTTTTAGCATATGTTGTTCCTTTAACCTACGTGTTTGCTCGTTACTTGGACCTTGAAAAGGGGACTAATATCAATAAAAGTATTAATAACACCTTCTCGAAGGTTTATGATGGCCATATTTATATTCCAGACGTCTTTTCGATTCGTTTCGAATAGACGACGAATTTCTTTCACAGGTTTATAGCTTGCCGGCATGTTTTATAGTTAACAAATTGGAGCGATCGACTTGCGACAGAACCATAAAGCATTAAAAACTTTTTTGTTCTTTTGTTTTTATTTTACACAGGGGAACGGTCGACCTTGAAATTGTATCGCGAAAGTTTAGGTGTCCATTTAAATTAACATAAAAATAAAATCTGGAATTCAAGTAAATAATGCCGCATTACGTCGATTACAAAAATTTTCGGGAAAAACGTATGAACTACAATTTATATGATTTTGTTAGTGTACTTTACGTCCGATAGGGGCGCTGTATATCGCATACAAGTAGATGTTACAAATACTTTCTCAGAAATTTTCGTACTATCCTACAGATGTAATTTCAGAGTTACTCGATTTTAGAATCTAGTCTAGATCTAGTCAGTAGGTAAGTGGGATAGTCATTAGAGCATAAAGTAACTAATATTTTCATTCGGTTGATTGATTCGTATAATTTTCTTGTACCGTAATTTAATATTAAATCTAAAGTAACTCCAATGAGCCCGAAACCTCAAACCGCAATCTTAGTCATATAAGATAGACACATTGATGTCAATGTTAGATTTTACTTTTATTTATTTATTTTAAATAATTAAATACCTAAACTTCATCAAAATCCATGGTAACAAAAACAAATATTTTCATCTATATCTACACTAATATTATAAAGAGGAAAGATTTTTATTTTTGTATGTATTTGATTCACGCAAAAACTACTAGGCCAATTTTAAAAATTCTTTCACCATTGGAAAGGTAATTTATCTGTAGTAACATAGGCTATATTTGGTATTTTTTTTTAATTCACTAGTTTAATTTAAGTCGCGAACAACAGCTAGTGCTAAATATAATGTCGTTTTATATTAATAAGCGAACATTTTGTGTTACACGTTTTTAAATAAAAAATATTTGGTAAGTCATAAAAAAGTCTACGCTAAGCTACGGTCTACTTAACATAAATTTTAAACGCTTCAAGTAAACTTTACCGTGTCATATTTCATTATCTTTTTAATCCGTGTAAAGTGTAATAATTAAAAAAAAAGTAAAGATGAATCTTACCGCTTTCACTTTCCGGTAAACGCACTGGAGTAGACACTGGAAATGGAGAAATAATAATTTTTATACAAGAAAGTAATCCACAAAAAAAGTTATGTCGCAAATAACAAATTATGTCAAAATGCAGTAGAACCTTACTATTACAGTAGAACCTTGATAACTCAAACCTCGGTAACATGTTCCCTTACCATCAGAGCCCAAAACCTCTATAACTTAAAATGTTTTGTTTCTCTTGGACTTTAACTTACTTGATATTAAATAGGAAAGGTTTGTATTTTTTTATGTAATCAATAAACCCAAAAACTAATAAAACGATTTTAAAAATTATCTAATTAACATTATCACAAAATAACAAAACATATATCGCTAGACCATCCTTACAAAGTAAGGACGAACCGCTAGGTGTCTTTGGTGTAAGAATAGCACTTAAGGACTGTTAGTCCAGTCCATTTCTAAGTGTGGCAAAGCATTGTATATTCGTTTATCTTACCCCAGCAATTCTCTTCTCGTCATGCGTAAAAGGCACTTCTCTCTTGTTGCGTCGTCGCTGCGCTGGCATCGTATGCTCCTCTTTTATCACGTCTAGGGCCTCTGGAATTGGAGAAAATTATAGGTTATAATAAATGTTAAGAGAATAATGTCGCACCAGGTTATGAAAGTCATGACAGATCATTAAACCCCTCTACAGGTCAATACTAAATTACAGTTTGAACTGTCAGTTGAATAGTTTTAAGTAGTAATAGTTAATAGTAATAGTTTGACAGTTTAGGTAAAACTGTCAGAATTAAGGATCTGTAACGAACTTCATGCTGTCAAGTCAAAAGGTAACTGATTTATTGACAAAAAAGTATTGTTTTTTCATGTCTATCAATTTCGATTACTTGTTTATAGTTACTTTATAGTTATTTGGACTTAAAACAGACTAATTATGAAATCTATCGGAGAAAATATATCTATTCATTAAAGATTTATTCAAGAATGCACCGTTTTAGTTAGGTGAATTAAATCTAGTTAAATGGACGTGATAAATATTTTATAAACAAGTTTATCTAGGACAGGTAGGTCACGGAGTCTCTGTACGTTCACTTTCAACGACAGAATGATTGCAATGTGCACAGTTTGAAGTGTAAAATGTTGGATATCTTGGATGATCTGATAAATGGAATTTTGGTTGTAAGCATAAGTACCGATTTTAGGGCTAGCACCTTGAGCGAGATTGCGATGGCAGTTTTTACCATGTCTTGTGGTTGGTAGATTTAAAAGGTTTCTTTGGGACTGTAATTCTTAATATCTTATAAGTCGACGATAACAAGTTTTTAATTTAATCAAAAAATGTAAATTCGTACTTAAAATTATTTATTTTAAGACTGAAATGTTTTACTAAAGTATTCGCCAACTAACGATTTAATTTCTAACTCCCGCTGCATTCTATATTACCCAATAACCGGTAAAAACTTAATTACTTCCCGCACTTATATTGCTTCCGACAAATTCTTGCAGGATATTGTAACACTACCGTTTTCAGTACGAATCTTTATAATTAGTATCTTATAGCTAGAAAAATCATGTCATTAAATTACCCGGATTAATTTCATTCAACCTATTGGCACACATAGGCTACTTACTTTCATTTTTTTTCATTCCACTAGGTGTCGCGGGCGAAAGCTAATATAGCTAATATAGCTAAGAATAATTACGAAGAAGTCTTCAAATTTTCTTATCCACTGACAACAGATGTTGTAAAGGCACATGTAACAGTTCAACAAGCATTGACTTGTGCAAAGTTTTAAACGGTAATATATTGGACTCGGTTGCGATTGGTGCTAACGTGTGGATTGCATCCGAACATTGTGCAACGTTCAAACCTTTATGATTCGAGGAAGTAAATGTTTTTACCGCTACATTTACGATACGCAATAAGTTATATATTTTCACGCTATTTAATTTAAGAGTTAATAAATTGGAATATATTGTCATGCGTGAAACGCGGAATCAAGCTGATGAAGCCGATGAACAGGTAGTTATATAAATATTTCTCTGTGTTCCGATTACAAAACGGAATTATTAAATAACCTAGTTAATAGTATGATCATCTCTGATTTAATTAGTGTTCGCAAAATGCAACAAATGCGTAATAAATCATTGTTAATTCGCTACGTGTCAGAATTATTTGTATAATTAATGCGTGCTTGTTAATTAGTTATTCAAACAAGTAAATTAATACTAGCTGTCTATCGTGACTTTGTCCGCGTCAAAAAAAACTAAATCAGTAAACAATGCTCGGCTAAAATTCTCTGATCCTCAAGATTTATTTGGCTGTTAACAAGTTTTGTAACATCCATACATCCAATGTTTTGTATATTAGTCAGAATTTTCTTTATGTACGTAATCTGTAGTTAAATCGTTACCGCAATACATTTGCCTCTACTGTGACATCGTACAAAGGTCAATAGAAATCGTGCAGTGCATTTACTAAGCCTAAAACATTTTATCCTTATACCAGTGACCTCATCTCTTCGATTATAAAAATAAAGATTTTAACAATTACCAGCTATCGAGAGGTCTAAACAATTGGTAATGGAAACATCGTGACGCATACAGTCCTTAACGAAACAGTTAAAGTCAACCTTCTCGGTAATGCCTTATGTAAATACTTTGACTATTAATAAATTGACTAGGGAAAGAGCCGTCACGCGTGTAGGCCTTTTTAAAATTTTAAAGTGATAATCACAGATGTGCATAACATGTTGACATTAAAGTAATATTATAACGCATTCATGAATACTCCGATTCAATTTACACTTACAAAATACAGAGCACACAAACGAGCAACACTAAAACTTAATGTTTGTTTTTATTATAGGGAAATGCTTGACAAGTCCTGTCTCTTAATAGGCAAAGTTGTCATATAACAATGTTTTGTCAATAAGCATTGAAGCCGGCGCTAAAACGTAGATATTTTTTGATTACCGTTAACAAAGAAATTGACCATATTTACTTAGCGATTTCAAATATATTACATATGTATATAAGTTTAGGGTCGTGCCACATTAACTATCGAAACTATTTATACCGAAATCGTATTGCAATGTTGGTAAATGCGTTTAAAAGTTCAATAAGAATCCTAGCCGAAGAAAAATATTTTTAAAATAGGGACGGTAATGCTCTCCATTCCATTCGAGAAACAGTTTACATGTAACAAGATGCGTATGCGTATTCTTATTTTGAAATGGAATATAAAAAGTTGAATTGCTTCAAAACATATTTCAATTGAAATTTCAAAACACGAAAATTGACTATAAACAATCGAGCAATAATAAATGAACGAATAAAGTTAATAAAAACAAATGTCAAGAACTTTGCTTCTTGAGTAAATGTCCGATGTGGCACGACCTTTATGTTGTACCGTTACTTTTGTCGAAGATTTGAAGGTGTGCAAAAAATGACGGTAATGCTTCGACACCGATTGTTCTAATTTGACTATCGAATTGCGGTTTCGTATTATTATTCATATGTTAGATATAACTATTAATAATACTAACCATTAGCTTATAACGGATGCCTTGATTACCGAATAACGGTCGAAAATATGTCTATTATTGTTTTTTATAGAGATTTCTACAGTTGTTTAGTACTAGTAAAATTGGAAATAGAATTTATAATACATCTTTTAGGAAGTGGTACGAGAGACGTCCTGGCATATAAAATATGCTTTGTCATAAAAATAGTGAAATACGAAAAAATAAAAAATATGCTAGTGACGCGTAAATAAAAAAACACTACGGAAAGATTTAAGGATGTTAGGAAACAATTGTTCTAATTTTCAAAATTCCACGATAAAAAAAATATGTCAGCTCGTACCTCACGTGAACGAACAAGAGCCAAACTTGAACAAGCAACCTTTAGCGTCCGATAATGCGAGACAAGGTTACGAAATAGTGAACGCGATCATAATAATAATAACTGACCTTACGTTTTATTACGTGTCTAGAACGGAAGCATAACCATATGCTTGAAATAGAAATGAATTGAGAACTTCTTTTGAGAAGTTGTAAGCTCTTCATCTATGTAGATAAAGAGCTTACATTTAATTTTTTTAAATACTAGGTATGTAACTGGATAGGGATTTTTTATGATAATGATATTTTACGATGTCCTTTTACCTATTTGTGTTACGGTAATATAAACTTCATACATCCATTTTTATACTCATATTATAAAGAGGGAAAATTTGGATTTTTGCATGTATTGAAATAACTCAGAAACTACTGGTCCGATTTCTAAAATTCTTTGTACCATTAAAAAGCTACGTTATCAGTAACATAGGCTATGTTTTTTTTTTAATTTCACGCAGGTGAAGACGCGAAGAACTGCTAGTTAATAGATATTTTTTTTCCTTTCTAAAAGTCAACAATTGTTTGTAAGATTTTTATTAAAATGTCAAATTGGCTGAATGAGACTGGCTCTTTAATAAAGTAACTGTTTTTATTTAGTTATAAGTGTCGTAGCTGTATAATCGTAATAAAAATGTTATCAAGAAGTAAGATTCATTAATTATAGTTTTATATTGAGTCACACAAAATGACACATACTGAACATTGACATCACGAATGGATCTGTTGAGTCAACTTTACATTTTAACAAAAATGAGCTCCAAAGTATTAGAGTAATTTACAACCAACACTTATGTATTGTTTCTTTGAAAACTACTTATGCAAGCACAAAGATATCTTTTATTAATGTAATTTGATATATTGTGTTTAATTTATGCGTAATGTTTTGAATTTCATTTGATAAATCATAATTTCAAGATAAAATTTTGCAACAACCAGAAATAACATGGTTTCATCAGGGTTTCAAAATGGATAGCAATAAATTCAGGGCTGTCATAAAATCATTTTGAATTACAACATTTAGCCACTCGCAACGCGGCCTAGAAACACACACATTAAATATAACGATTGAAAAATAAATTAGGGTCACACAAGATTACAAATATGAAATTGCACAAGTTAATATTGCTAATAAGATTGCATTATAAAAACTTAAATCAAAAGTCCAGTTGCAGCCCTGAACAGGTTTTAAATGTGCAACAGTGGATCAACTTAATCACAGCTTAGTCAAGTTACAATTTAACATTCAATTACGTACATAAAACCTTGCATTAATATAGTGCTTTGGTTTATGTATGTTCTTCTTCTTCGAGTGCCATCTCTTATCGGAGGTTGGCAACCATTATAGCAACCTGAACCTTCGACACTGCTGCTCTAAATAAGGAACGTGTGCTTTTATTATACCACTGGCGCAGATGTATGTAGTTTTGCTCAACAGTGGGACAACTGAATAGCGCTCATGTCCATTTTTGTTGGAATGATCAGGAAAAGTGTCTAGGTATACTCCAAAAAATCAACTATTTTTATAGCACCTTTATGCCGCCTTTCCGCATTGGCCAAGATCAAACTTGGGCCGCTGCATAGCTCTAATTAGTTGTAGATACGAGTAGTAATGTAGAAAAAGAAATGTTACAGTGGAAAATTTAAACAGTAGTCACGTTTAAACTAGATCAGAAAGCATCGTCAATTTTAGCGTTACGTAGTCAATGTACGTACACATCGGTATTGCGTTCACTTTCACTACAGCGACCTTGCCCACGTCGTGTATTACCGATGCACGCGGCTGCAACGAGGTATCCTAAGCGATTCATGTAATGGGCAGATGGAACGTGGGAATTGTGCATTATCCTTGGTTTAGATGCAATATACTCCAATGCCAAGACTATGCAGAACGAATTCAACGTTTTTAATTCTTTAACGCTATTTATTACTTCATATGTTTAAAAACAATTTGACATTGACAAGAGAAGAAAGGACGTCTAAGAATGAAATAAATCTTACTTCTTATAAATATTATAAATGCGAAATTCGGATGGGTGGATGTTTGTTAGAAGATATCGCCAGAACCAGACGGCCTAGATGAGTTTGCTGTTTTATTTTTTTAATTTGTCGCGAATAAGGCGGGAAATAAAGCTAACTACTATGTTTCAAAAAATAAATAGAAATAATATGATTTGACATATCTTAAAAATATGGGTATATTTCAACAACTTTTTGACCGACTTCCCAAAAGAAGGAGGTACTCAATTCGTCTTTATGTTTTTTTTTTTATATCGTGTACTTTATAATACTGCTCCAGTATAATAATTGTCATCATAAACGTTATTATGAACTCGTTTAAATTAACTTTAATTTTCCATCCGATAATTTTTAATTAACTCAAATCGAGATCTCGAAAGTAAACTTTAACAGTAATTGAAATTCTTTTTAAATTAAACGTTCCAATTTTGAAATGTTTCAAACTTTTGACACTTTGATTTTGACCGCAATATTTTTCATTGCTGTTAATTTTGTTTTTAATTTTTGATGGTTTGTGTACGAGCAATTATTAATATACACACTTAACTGGACGGCAACAAAGCCGTTTAACACAGAATCCATTAAAAAAGCGATTACAATAAACCATAATTAAAGAAGCATTAAAAATGCTTCGTGAATTTCGACGCTCCGATTTAAAAAACATAAAAATCAATTTACCGTTATATTTATTGTAATGTTTAAAAGGGTGACCCACATTTAGGACAGGGTCCGAAGGGTTTGGCATCCTTTATCAACGCTTACTCACGGCGATGGAATTTGAAATGATACATTGTATAATTTTTTGTACATTTTGACCAACAAGGGTTCGTTATGGGTGATTTTTAACCTGAATAAACGGACAAAGACATTCCGTGTATAGCTTGTTTATGAGTTCTTTAATGTTCAATGTTATTAAATATGATTGACTTACCTCTCAGTATGGAGAGTTTAATTTCGTCTTGACACAGCGTTATTACTCTTTCTATCTTCTGAGGTGCTGTCGGTGGGTTCCGGCATCTTGTCTCCTGTTGGTAAATTGATTCAATTAATTTCTTTTTATTTGAAATGAACTATAGTTCCTACTAATATGGAAATACTTTTTTAATGAGAAATAATTGATTTGTAAGTTATTATTACAGATACTGTAGACATGTTTTACCATAGACATTTGAAATGTTTGTTACCCACAACCCAGACCCAAGAACGAGACTTGCGGACAGACAGGTTTTTTTATAGTTTTATGTTATCAGCAACGCAAATTCATCATTTGGAAATCGCGAATTTTTCTTTCGGTACATACATACACTTAAATTTTATTATATGTATAGACTTGGTGCTGCAGGATACGTTTATTTTAACGCTTCCGTGAAAGTCATTGTGCTAATATGTCCGTTAAAATGACAAAAAAGTGCCATCGAACTGTATATCAACATGTACACTTCACACTTAACATCTGTTGGTGGCGTGAATTATCTCTTACTTCACATAAGTAAGGAAGAAAGAAGTATTTTAACCAAAGTAACTTTATTTGTAGAGAAAACGCTCAATAAAATCCCCAGATAACGGCTTCATAAAGCATTTCAAAAATATTCTGTTGTGTTTTACAGAGAGAAAAAGAGAAAAAGTACACAAGAAACCATAATCTTGTTATAACGATTCAAGTCAAAGGCTCGGAACATTTATTTTTATGTTACGATATCCTGAATAACGAATCATAACTAAACGTACTTTACTTAACATCCTTTGTTTCGCGCCATCTGTTGGACGAGGCACGCAATATCAAGCCTTCATTACACACATCAAAGGCTTAACTCAACTAAATAAGGTAAATTATGTACCATGGTCGGACTACAATACAATCTTGATTGAAATTTGTTGGTCTTGGACTATTGTCACTTTTACATTGAAATATTTTTAACGCTTACATAAATGAAGGCCAATAAGCCGCAATCTGATTCGTTCACGAATCGCCCACGTTTGTTTCACTTCGAGGGTACAATTTTTAATTAGTGTTAAGTTAGAAGTTACGGATGTTAAAGTTTCTTTGATTTGCTAATAAAATATACAATATCGAAAGTTATAAACCAGGAGATATTATTAAAAATTATATTGGCAAATCTTGATGATTGCAAATGGTATAAATTTATGCTAAATTATCTCTGACGAAATATTTAATCTAGACTTTGTTGCAAAAATAGGTCTACGATTCTCAAATCTGTTTCTTAACTAGACTCGATCATGATTGGTAAGATGTTTGTGAAGTTAGATCGATTATGAATAATGCAAAAGGTCAAATTTAAAAATGTAGATCAGGATTTTTCTATGCTCTTTCCGCGTTCTAGTTTCATATTATATTATCAACTATATTTTGCCCGCGACTTCATCTGCATGAAAAAAACTTAGTAACCTATGTGTTCTTTTAGACTATCCTCTACACCTATACCAAATTTTATCGAGATCCGTTTCAGCAGTTTCGACTACAAACTCTAACAATCATCTATCTAAACTTTCGCATTTATAATATAAGTAAGATTATTAACTTTTTGCTTAATAAAACAATTGAAAAGTTAAACTGTGCCTTTTAGATCAGAAGAATAGGCGTCAACACCTTATTTTTCATATCTTTATCAATCTAGGTTACTGACCCTAAAACAATATGGAACAGACGTCAAAAAACTGAAATCAGTTAGCCGACAGACACGAGTCTTCATTCTTCCATTCGTCACACTTTCTCACAAAAACTATCGAAGCTCGAAGTGCAATTATTTACACTATCTATTGGTCTTACGACTATAATGGTCACTTCATAGCTGAACATATCCATACAAAGAACACGTACTACCTTAATAATAAACATTGTAAATTGTTATTTGTAATAAACATTTTATAGGATGCATCAATACTGTAATAATGTCCGGTTTATTTTTGTACAATTTGTACAAGAACCGTACTTAACACGTTCAATGCGACCAGATCCAGATTCGTTTAAAATCGTGGCGGCAATGAACGTGTTTATTCGCTTAGGAATCTTGTACGAAGGTAAAAGAGATACATTAAAATGTGCTTCTTATATACGGTTAACAAAACGAATAAATACTCCACTTTGCAGTACACAAATCCACATTTAACCTTTGCAACTAAGCCAATATGCGTCATGTCAAGGAATATATGAACTGAAATATAAAGACATCAGCCTTCTACCTACTAAGTTCGTTCCAGGATTTTTAGTCGAAGGCCCCATACTACAGACTTGTATCGGCCGATAGTCATTCTATGCAATCTTACTAATCTTTTTAATATTATAAATGTGAATGTTTAGATAGATGGATGTTTGTTAGAGTTTAGGGCCTAAACGCCTGAATGGATTTCGATGAAATTTAGCACAGATGTAGAGGATAGTCTCGAAGACCACATAGGCTATTCAATTTTGTTTTTTTCAATCCACGCGAAAAGTCGCGAGCAAAAGCTAGTTAGTTTCTATATTTAAAAGTGCAATAATTTTAATTGCATAATATAACTTTTTTATTTGTTAATTCTTACTTGACTAATATCCTTTTACTCAAATGGCAATAAACATGTTTCTTATATAAGTGAATGATTGAACTCTACGTAGAGCAAACTGGACCTTTGTAGTCTCGCAAGATCTGAGATACCAATAAGTTCCAAAGTCAATTGCGTAACTCTTGTAACATGTGAACGTATGTCATGGGTTTATTTGCAACCGGACATGTGAGAAACTATTTAATGCTATGTGTTCTATGCTATCTGTTTTCATTATAAATATAGTGTTTGTTACTGAATAGAATTTAATTGAATTTTCTTTACCAATATATTGGTATATCTAGTTTTATGGCTTAAAACAATCGTATATGTTTTAAGTCTAATTTAGACGTTTGATAACTGTAGAAATACGAATTTGAATCCTTTATAAGTATCCTGGATAAAAATGATCAATTTTGAACCGTTTAAAGTGAGAATTGGAGTCTCATTTTTTCTCAAGTGAATTGTATTTAACGCAAGTTAGCAGGTATTGAGTCATACAGTGGGCGTAGCCTTGCTAATACATTTATGGTCATACAAACTGTATAAGGTATTGTGTAGGCTGTGGTTCTGTTAGATCATCTATATTTGTCTGAGTATCCGCTAAAATTTATCGCAATTTAATGATTTTGGTCAAAATTTAATACAACGAACGTTGAATCTAATTTTAAGAAGAAGTATTAGTTAATTTTATTTTTATTTATAATACGAGGTGGCAAACGAGCAAGCGGCCACCTGAATCCACCGAAATGGAAAGCGACCGCTGCCCATAGACATCTGCAATTGCAGATGCGTTGCCTTCCCTTAACTGACAGAGGAGGAGACGCACATAAAGAGGACATTTCCCCTTCCTATACGTCTCCTCACCGTCAAATCCACTTTTCCTTCCCATCCTTTCACTTAAGAAAAGGGTGGAAAGGGAAAGGGAATAAAATTAGGCCTCCGGCACCACACTCATCAGACGAAACGCGGAATTGCTTCCACTTCACGCCTGTTTTCTGTGTGGTCGTGGTATTGCACCGGGCGAGCCGGCCCATTCGTGCGAAGATGTTAAAGCGGGCTCTACCACTGTTAATTGGTTTTTATATGTATATACAAGTAAATTAAACTTCAAAATCAATTATAAAAATATCGCCACAACCAGTTTTTATACGAAAAAGTTTAAATCCTATTAATGTTTTCGTCATGAGGACTTAAATTAGCAATTTAATTAGAGTAATAAATTTTATCTAATTAACGCAGTTTAAAAGTTTTACGTACTCCTGAATAAATTTATTACTGTTCGAAAAAAAAAACAATTTAGATAGAAAGCAAAGACTGCACTATTTTTTTTCTAATACTTTTAATTATTACATTAATAAAGGACATATTAGTATTTACGGATAATTTTTAGAAAAACTATCGATTTAAAACCAATGAAAGACAAGAACCGAGCTGATTTCTTTTCCTGGCTTACGCAAGAAGTATCTCGCGACAGGGACTACAAACATTTGGCATTATAGGAATTGAAATATTAAAAATAAATTCCGTAACTTCAAAAGGATAGTTAAATAAAACATGTAATCTCAAACATGAAATATGCTAGATTTATTGCACCGAAAATCTTTCTACTATTTCAAAAGCAATCAGCGTCACAAAAATTCATGCAACGAAATCAACGAATGGATTCTGCGTAAAACTCAATGGCTTTATCGAAACCATAATCAATGTGCGTTATGACTACGCTTTGTTGGTTTCACTTTCACTAATACGGTTTCATTTCCACGCACCAAATGTTAACAACAACTGCCTGTGCGTTTGTGAATGCAACGATTGCAACTGACACGTGAAGTAAATACTAACTTGACTCTATTATTGTTTATTGTAAGTATTTATTTACATGTTACAAAGAACGTTAACGATGCAACACTGTTAACAACATAAATATTATATTTTATAGCTAATTTGAAACGTAATCTTTTATTTGTTTATTAATTTTATCATCGTGTTTTATCTTAGTTTTATGTATATACTATGGTGACAATGTTAGAAGCCGAAGAACACGAAGACACATGCAGTTTTGTTATTATTGGAAATAACTAACGCAATTTAACTAATGTGTATTTAATTACAATAGGAGTGGTCATAACATACATATATTATTTGTTTAAATTGTTATTTATGAGTGTAATTTACTAAAAATTAAAATATTCTCTAAAAATGGTTATATGCAATGTTTCATGTAGTACATCTATACTAATATAGTAAAGCGTAAACACACACTTCTTTGTGGAATAGGATCTCAGCAATCACAGCATATTTTTGAATAATTATTTTATCAATAAAAAGCCCTACACTTACGTCACGCTTTAGGCTAGTATTTTCACGCTTTTAAACTTAGAGGGTAAAAAATTTGAATAAAAACTCCAAATGTTTAAAAGAGACCATAAGCTACGAGCTGCCAACATCAAGGAAGCAAGATTGCCATAGTAAGGTAATTGGTATTTTGACATTTGTAATTGAGAATTTGACAGATGTAAACAATAAAATAACGTTTTAAATTTCATGCGGATGAAGCCGCACGGAAACAGCTAGTAGAATCATATAATTGTTGATATTTTACGAGTTAGTGACTAAGCAACAAGCTTTACTAAGAATTGTATTACTAGACATTCAAAACCGAAGTTCTAGGTTATTATTATTATATTCTATTGTCCGAGTTTTTGGTTCTTTTATGCATGGGTTAAAAAAATGTTAATAAACAGAATAAACTAATGTGGCAACTAGTACTAAAGTATTCTTAGATAGTCTATTTAGTTAATTATGTCCCTAATTCTGAAGTAAAATTATGAATTTATGTAAAACTTAACTGTTGCTGACATCAACATTTTTCTAGGAGACCTATGTTTAAACAACCCTTCATCATCGTATTCCCGTACTTATTCTACTCCCGTAGGACGCAACAGGTTTTCTCCCCCCAGGTAAATCTATCTTCCCTCATCTATATGATAACACTATTAATGTTTTTGAGAACATCAATGAGAGTTTAAAAGACTTTTTTACATTTGACTCAAAACTATTGTCATACATGTTTCTATTTTTGACACGTTATTTGTCAGGTTTTTGTTGGTGTAATTTTATTAAATGTTCTGTGTGAATTGTGTTGCATAGAATTAAACTTGTCGCACACTTTCAAGGTTACTTCGCAGAAATAGAGCGGAATCGACGTAAGTGATAATATTTTATCTCAGTTGATATCTCCATTTTTAAAGTAATATTGTTTTAATACCGAGGAATGTTAACGATATTAGATATTTAATCATAAAATAATAATAAAAAACATCTGCTTGTCTTAATATAGTATACAGAGAAAATAATGTAGTCAATTAGTTAAACAAAAATAATCTACATACATTTTCCGCAGATATGGCACTATCACTAAAAGATATACCAAAAACGCAGAGACAACACACGAAAACACTGATTTTCCGAACCATTTTTATCACAAGCACTTTATTTTGCTGATAGTCACGATATTTTAAAATTATTTAGCGCTTCGTGCGGATAGAGGCGAAAGGCGCGCGACAGATCTCAGTATGGGACCCGCGTCGTGAATGTACAGATTTTTGAAAGGCCCGCGTAGGTGGGTTTCGCGCCGATTTCATATTGACGCGTTCCGTTTCACGGTTGTCACCTGTTTATAACAAATGAAACAAGAAAATTTTTAATACGATAATCTTATTTCAAGTATTTATAAAACCTGAGACGACATTAATTTAATAAAATAACAATATTAAAATGTGAATTTAGATTGAAATCTACTGTAATGTCTTTACTCAGGGATATACCATTTTATTGGTAAAATATTTTTTTTAAATCGGTTTAACCGTTTATAAGTTTACTCCATACTTACAAAAATACATGTCTTTCGTTTATAATAGTAGTGTAAATGTAGAATTACTTTTTTATCATTATACTAAACAGCGTGAAGTTTTTTTAACAGATCTGTCAGATAAACAGATTACGGTCACCAATACAATTGATGTCCTTTACGGTGGTTTATAACATTAGTTCCTTTCCCTATGATTCATAATAAAAATAAGTCAAATCGACTCTGAGGTTTTAGAGAATATTTTTTAATTATAAATGGTTTTGATTCACTCTTTCTAACAGTTAAACTTTTCACATTTTTAATACAGAAAAATATTAAATACTTTTTAATTTACTGATAGTTTTGATGATAAATATAAAAAAAAATCCGTCTGATTGTTAAAAGTTAAAAATAAATGAATGTGGTATTTAACCGTGTGAATATGTTTGCATGAATGTGTCATTTAGATAAGGTTATCAACATATATATTTGCATATTATCAAACGGTGTTATTGCCATTAGCTTCCAGACAGCCATATTGTGACCACCATTAGAGTCGTTACCGTGATAAAGATGAGTGAATGGGAAAAAGATGAAGTGATACAAAGATTCAGAGAATATTTAAGAATACCTACAGTGCATCCAAATGTTGATTACAGTAAGTAAAACATTTAATTATTAAATTTCTACAAAAACAAGCACATTTAATTGTCTTTCAATGTGATATATTTTTGTTGTTATTTTTTATAGCAAATTTAACTAAAAAGATTGAATTGATTTGCAAAAGTACGCTTTGCATAACGGAGTAATATTATAGAACCTTTAGAAGTAATATGATATATCGAATTTTTTATAGTTTTAGACTGGTTGTGAGAGACTTGGACTTTCTTAATAAACCAGTTGTTATTTACAGTCTATGCTTAACTCTACTTAACACAGTAATCGCTAGTGACCAAATAATTGATAGTTTGTGTGAAATAGAGTTGTAAAACAAAGTAAAGGTTATGTAATACAGTTTTATAACATAAAACAGATGACTGCGTCAACTTTTTGAAGAGACAAGCAGACCTGTTAAATCTACCTTATGAAGTGCACGAGTTGTTAGAGAAGAAACCAGTAGTGTTGATAACATGGCAGGGAACGCAACCAGAATTACCTTCGATCTTATTGAATTCTCACATGGACGTAGTGCCCGTTTATGAAGTAAGTTTTCTTCAATAAACACTCTTTGATTACCTCTCCAAATACTACCTAAATTATAGGTCATAACTTATTATTAAAGAAGAAAGAAATGCCATCAAAATTTCAACTAATTCTTAATTTAATGGTCTCGTGATTTCATTTTAAAACACAATAATTTGCACTTAAAGTTTATTATTCTATTTCAACTGAGAATCTTCACCGCCTGACATTTTCAAATAGCATTTGTTGCATTTAATCAATTTTTAGATTACAATTTGATTTTTCACAGGAACATTGGAAATATCCACCGTTTGAGGCGCATATTACAGCAGACGGTTGGATCTATGCTCGCGGTGCACAGGATATGAAGAGCAATGGTATACTGCATTTAGAAGCTGTTAGGAACCTTAAGAAAGCCGGCGTCAGGCTAATGAGAACTGTTCATATTAGTTTCGTACCAGGTAAAACTTTTTCACTAACTCGACTCATGACGACTATTTCTATGACCAATTCCAATACTGCGTCACCGATTGATGATTCTTTTTTTATAACAGAAAGGGCCAAACGAGCGACGAGAACACCGCGGTGGTCATTTTTCATTTCTTGTTTTTAGTTTAGTTTATAATTGTTTCAAATATTTGAATAGCTAGTCTAAATAACAATTTTTAATAACAGACGAAGAGATTGGTGGCATGAATGGTATGAAAATATTCTGCGAATCCGAGGAATTTAGGAAACTAAATGTGGGCTTTGAGATGGACGAAAGTTACCCCAGTGATGATTCAAAAGTATTCCACGCATTTCACGGAGAACGGACAGCAAGACGTAAGTGTTCTGTATACTTAAAGTCTAAAGACAAAGAGATTTTAGAAATATACAGGCTAGAAATAGGGAACAAGATTTTTTCGCCGCTAACTTCTTTATACGGTAATATTTGAGATGTTTGAATTATTTGTTTTTTTTTTGGTTTATGATTTTGACTATCGGAAACCAGGTACCGTCAGTGAGATGAAAAATGTTTCAAGTAGTGAAGTGTCAATTATGCATACTATATACCATATATTTTAATGTTCTTTTGCTAAAGTTAAAATTAAAATTAAAATGCTAAATATTATAAATTTAATAATAATTGGAATAACCATGACCCCCCAATCACTGGTACAAAATGAGTTCTCAAACTTAAGTTGCAGTTAAATTACAACAAAATGTGCAATATGAGCATATAAATCTTAAAAACTGATATGACGAAATTGGACTAATAAGCTCCGGTTCCCTCGACTCTTGTGAAACCAGTTGTAGTTTTTACATATGAAAATCCATTTAATGGCTTCTTGTTTATGAAATGCCTAACAAGTAAAGATAATATCGCTTTAGTAACGTGGTAATTGGCGCGCAGTTTCACCATGCGTTCCCAACTTTTTACGCCGAATGCTCATGATTGTGGAACAATATTGCTTTGACATACTGGGAAACATCTTTGTGATATCGCACTAACTACGTGTTTCTATTGTTGAAACATTTATATGAAAACATTCTAACCCCTTTTACCTGCCTAGAAAATAAGAGATAATAAATTGTCTATAGATTGTGCCGTAATTGACAAAGGTTTTTAACAGACATTAACTAAAATAACTAGATTTTACTTTACATTTGAGATATTTTTTTAGCTGATTAACAAGCACTTCTTTGTTGCCTAAGATGTCAGAAATCACAGCATATTTTCGAATAACTCTTTTTTTATTATAATAAAAAGCCCTACACTTACGTCACGCTTTAAGTTATATATTTGGACGCCATTAATGTGGGAAGAGAGCATAAGTTGCTGCCAACATAAAGAAAGCAAAATTGCCATGCTTTGTGATGACAAATGACATGATGGTTATGTCTGTCTGTCATTTTGACATTTGCAATTGAATATGACAAATGTAATCAATAAAACAATTTTCATTATGTCATGCGAATGAAGTCGTACGGGAACAGCTAGTTTATATATAATATAAAGAGGGAGGATTTGTATTTTTGTATGCACTTAAAAAAACTGGGCAACTCAAAAATAGTTTTAAAGTCTGAAAGCTACATTATTTTTGAGTAAAACAGTCTTTATTTAAGTAATGATTTTTTATTATCGTAATTTATTTGTAGAAGTCAAAATAACATGCAGAGGTGTGACCGGCCATGGTGCTATGCTCCAAAAGAATGAAGTCACCGCCGGCGAAAAGGTTGAATTTCTTTGAGTTATTTAGTTAAAATGTATATTACTTCACTAATTAATTTTGGATTAAGATAAGAGAAAACTAAATAAAGCGTTTCTTTTACAGATTAATTATATTATTAACAAATTAATGGAATTTAGAGAAAAGGAGAGACAAAAATTTGTTAATGGTGCGCTTTTGGGTGACGTTACAACAATCAATTTAACAAAATTAGAAGTAAGTTTTTTCTTTTAGTTAATCAGTAAATAGTTTGATCATAACTGAATTATTACTTAAGTAAAATAAAAAAAAGGATAACCTCGTGCTAATTCGAATTTAAAACAAAATGTTTTTACAAGATTAACATGCTAATATGCGCAATTAACTTACTTGTTACAAAACAATGTGATTAATTTATCTGCAGAACTTGCAAAACAAAGGTTAACAAAACCGAGTTACATATTAAGGCAGGTTAAAAAAATAAAAATGACTGAAAATTTAATGTCACAATAATTTCATGTCTTCACCTCTTTTCATTCACCTTTTGTCAAAATGTTTGTAAACCCACTTTAACTAGATGACTCTTCTGAATTTATATTTAATAAACATTATCTGGCATTAGTAAATAATTCGATGTTGTATATTTTGACAATTTTCTCACCGACAGGGTGGAGTTCAAATAAATGTGCTGCCGGAACAGCTTAGTGCATATTTCGACATCAGAATATCTCCCTTCGAAGATCACGATGCTTTTGAGAATATGGTAAGACTTTTGTCTAGAAATTAGTCATAAGAATGCTAAAATATATTTTTACTGATATGAGGTACTGCCCCACATAAAGGATCATAAAATGTAAAAAAGAAAATTAAAACAAAAGTCAGAGTAATTATAATAAATACACAGTACAATAGGTAATAAGATAAGACAGACTTAATGGTAGCTAATCCTAGTCTAGATTAGACCTAGCCTAGATCATCAGCTCGGGCCGCCTAAGATGTTCCTAAAACTCTGAAGGTTTTTGTATGTTATTTCAAATGTTATTTGAATAACATTTATCATAAAATTCAAATTAGAAATCGTAATTATTTTCCTCACTTAGATTTTAAACTGGTGCAAAGAAGCCGGAGAAAACGTTACATTGGAATATTTCGAGAAGAATCCAGAAGAAAAAACAACCAAACTTGATAAGGACGCGTACTTTTGGAATGCTTTACTGAAAGCAGTACGGGATATGTAAGTATATTGTACCTTTTGAGCGTGCTCACACCTTTGACAAAATTATCGCATAACTGTTTAGTCGCGATTTGATTCCTATATGAGCTTATATGGAGATGCTCACACTACTCGATTTGTAGTTGTGAAAACAGATAAATTGGTTGCCGAAACAATCGAGAATCACAGAACAGTTGTGCGATAGTTTAGTCAAAGATATCTTTACTTACTTCTAAGTTACTTCTTGTTCTTCAACGATCGACGACACGCGTTTAAACTGAACCAAATTAATAAAATATAATATTACTAAGATTAGGCATTGAAAATATTTCTTTTTGCAATTAATTGGCTTTGAGGAATTTAAGAATACAAAAGTAAGTAGCGGATGTGTTCTTCCAACTATTCTCTTGACATCTATGCCAAATTTTACCAAGATGTGTTCAGAAGTTTAGGCTATAAGCTCTTACAAACATCCATCTATACTTTCGTATTTATAACGTAAATTAGATAGTCGGAAGTTTAAGTGAAATACGTACAAAATGTATTTTAAATATGCTACAATTTCAGGGGCTTGGATATCAACAGTGTGATCTGTCCGGGCACTACAGATGCGCGCTTCATACGACGTCAGGGAATCCCCGCTATAGGATTCTCTCCAATACTCAACACGCCTCAATTAATACATGCTCATAATGAAAGAGTTCATGTGGACGATTTCAAACACGGCATTATTGTTATGGAGAAGGTTATAGTTGCATTAGCCAATGTTTAATTATGCGAAAAGTCAGTCATTAAGCGTAAGTTTTTTGTAATTAATGTTTGAAAAGATTTTTCCTGCTGTTTTCCATGCCCACGATACAGGCATTGCCTAGTGTGGGCATCACCAGATTAATCGTATTTTAACCACAATTTGTAATTATCATTTAGTTGGTATAACTGTTATTGTAATTGTTAATCTCTTGTTTCAATAAAATTATTTCTATTTCAAGTTAAATAAATGTGAAGCAAGTCATTACTTAATTACCTACCAAATAGAAACGAAAAAGATATCCTCATACAGCAAATAATTATTAATCGTAATAGGTTTTCTAAAGTATTATTTAACATTAACTACTTTAAAAGAAATAAACAACAGAAAATTTAAAATGTAGTATTTTAATTGCAACTTTATACAAACATTTAACAAAACGTTTTCGACAAATCACTACGACATACACCACGTTGCTTGGATCTTATCTGTTAAAGCTCTTGGATTTGATTCTCATGACGGATCTGCTCTCTGCACTGCCGAGCTGACGCGACAACGCCATCATCGAGCGAATACGACGTTGTGACGTCAACGTAGGTCGTCTCTCGTTGTAGAACTCTTCAATCTCTTGCAGCGTCAAATCCTTCGTCTCCGGCAAGTAGAAGTAGACGTATAAGGAACCTGGGAACATTAAAATATACCAATTGTTAAAAATATAGGCCTAATTTTCTCTTTCCCTCACCGCGCTTTTCTTATAAGAAAAGGGTGGATTTGACTGTGAAGGAGCATAGGAAGGGAAAATATCCTCTTTATGTGCGTCTCTTCCTCCGTCAATTAAGGGCCTACCCTTGCCTACAACGCGTCTGCAATTGCGAATGTGTATTGGGCAGCAGTCGCTCCGCCATTTTGGCGGATTCAAATAGCCACTTGCTCGTTTGCCACCTTGTGATATAAAAAAACTTATAAAACAAGTCATAAAAGTGGAGATTTCTAACCCAATAAAGAGAAAATACTAAATCCCAGTATCACATTAGCAAATCCAATAACACTGCAAAATGGCAGATATACTGCGTTGACAGCAAACGTTGTACCATTTAATATTGCTATACCAATACCTCCAACTATGCCACGAATCTGAAAACAAATACCTTTATTTACAGAAATGTTAGAAGAAAGTAGCAACCTGGAATCGTAATCGAATAATACAGCAAACTCTACTTACTTGCAAAGGTGACAGTTCAAATATTAGAAGCATGGGCAGAGGATAATAACCAATACTTGAGAATGCCATATAGATTAAAAAGAAGAAAATTGGCAGTACGCTCTGTTGAGTGTTGTAAATGATGAATATTCCAAATAATAAAAAAATGCCGAACACGCCCAAACCTGTAATGCAAAATAATTTAATATTGTCACAACTCTAGGACGCAGTTTTTTTAGTCGAATACTCTGTAGTTATAGCAAGCTTGGAGAAGGATTTCTTGTTCTCGCATAGCGCCCGCATGCGAGAACCGTTCTTTAGTCGTTAGGGCCCGCAGGGTTGTCGTTACTTGTTCTTACCAGGCATTCTATTTAACTGAGTCCCCGGACGATGCTTGCTTTGGAACAGACTGATTTTTTTCATTAACCCCATGCACGCTGTATACAACTGAGTTATCTACTAACTAAATGTTGCTCGCGACTTCGTCACCGTGAAATAAAGTAAAGTAAATAAACCTTGTCTATGTTACAAACTGATTACGTAGGTTTTTAATTGTGTATAGATTTTTAAAATCGGTCCAGTAGTTTTCGAGTTATTTCAATACATACAAAAATACAAATCTTTCCTCTTTATAATATTAGTATATAGTATAAATGAAAATAAACCCTCAGACGAATTTGTAAGCATTTTCTGCTGATCTACGGTAACTTTAGCAAGCGCAACTTAATTTAATTATACGTAAATACTTTGTAATGTTATCCTCGATATAAATAAGAAGTACTTACTCGATATTAATGCCAAAATTCTTCGACCCATTTTTAACATTAAAAATGAAGTAGCGATGCCAACAACAAGCCTTGTTACACCTAACGCAATGTTGCCCACATCGGGGTTAATGCTCGACCTAGACTCCTGGATATTAAATTAAGTATGAACATTAGTTTTTAAACAAGACAAGAATCTTTCTTATTTCTTTTAAAATTACTAACTGAATAAAACCAACCAATGCAACAAATCATATTAGAAGTGCCTGTCTTATAAAGAAAAATGTAATATAAGATATCTTACTTAAGTTATTAAAATTATGAATACGAATGTTTAGATGGATGTATAGATGTTAGAGTTTACAGCCTAAATGGCTGAAAGGATCTCGATAAAATTTAGCATAGATCTAGATGATCTAGAACTAGAAACACTCACAAACTTTCCTTCCTCCATCTAAACTTTCACATTTATAATAGGTAAGATCAAAATACCAAAGTACACGGTAAATGAAGTGACGATTGTGTTACTGAATCTTACTTGCAACATCTCGATGGTCCACATCAGTAGAAGATTAACTCCAACTAACTGTGATATTATTATATAAGTGACTATCATCGAGAATGGTTTACAAGCTGATTTACTGAACAACATCTGCATCTGCTCATGTAGACTTAATCTGAAACATTTTAAATTACATTATATGTTCAGAAAAAACATACCACAGAGATAGCACGATCCATAGAATGGCACAATTAAAATAGTTCCCATTGGATCGATTGCTCAGTAGAGAGTAAAAATAGGCAACCAGATATTTTCAAGAATCTTTCGAAAGCAAAAAGTGGTAACATTAGATTTCATATCGAATATATCGTGGTAAAGAAAATTGTAATTAATAGAAAGCAACGTTATTAACCTACGAAGTCTGTTATCCGACTTGTATTCTAATAACGTATCCATTTCTGCCTCGACATCGTAATGCACGGATCTGAACTTCCTTAAAGTCATTTCAGCTTTCTCAGGTGTGTTCGTCATCAGAAGAAAATATGGCGTCTCCGGGAATATGAAAGCGAGGAATACCAAAATGATGCTGTAGAAACCATTAAGAAATGCCAAACTGGGCCACTTCATAAATGCACCGAAAACCGCCTGGGAAAAAAGAACATGGAAATCATTAATAGCTAAAAGGCGGACTACTCATTTGTTGAGTGAACTTTCCAAGTTACCTGTAAGATAACTCCAAGAGCTGTACCGACGCTAGGAAAGGAACCATTCACGCCTCTCATATTAGGCAGTGATATTTCAGTGACATACGCTCGAGGAGGAATCATGCCCATGCCACACCCCAAACCAACTATAAATCTACCTGCACGGATAAATAAATATTGCATATTCGCTTCACTATAAGAACGTCGGTTAAATCTTCTCTACGCATAATAAAATTGGAGTGTCTGTATGTATGTACATGCGTTGCTGATAACATGTCTGTCTATCTGTGTATGTCTGTCAGCAAGCCGCGTTTGTTATGGGTAATCCCCGTAAAGACTGGGCCGATTCTTACGGGACTTTCACTGGAGGGCGAAAAGGGAGCGAACATGGACGGCCACATTAAAGGTCTTTTTTTAATTCAACAATGTCAAAATAACAATGGATTGCTATCACTGGTACGGGTGGACAGATGTTGACGGGACTTTGACTGGAAGGTAGCTTATGCGCGAGGGAATGTTATAGATGTCTATTTTTTAATTCCGCGGTAACGTAGTTTGTGACCAGCAACTCGTGTAGATATTATTTTTTATAAATCGAAAACTCTGGCCCTTGATCTGAGATTACAAGTCAAGTCCTTAACTCCTAAGCTACCGACACTTTTGAATAACACTATTTTATTGTCATCTTCTCTTTAAATATAACCTAAAAATTATAATTTCAACTATTTTGTTCAGTATCATAAATAAAGAATAGTTTGACATCTAGATTTTCAAACATTACCAATAATTAACTCGACAGCAGTAGTTGCGAACCCGGTTAGGATCCATCCGATTATCATGGGTACTTCGCAGACGATCAGTGCCATCCGTCGCCCATATGTATCCATTAGGAATCCGCTAATAACATTACCAATCATCGTGGTGAAAGGCAATACACTTACTGGAAAGTAAAACGATATTAAGTACAGTAGCTACATTGTTCAGTTTTGAATCCTGTTAATCTATAAATTTCTTACTTCTACAGTGTTGTTTACGGAATGATCATAAGCCTTTACTAAACTATTATAATCTATGTGCAGTAACCACATACCTATCAACGTCTCTTCCATAATTGATGTTATAATTTTAGGATCGACTGTTGTCAATTGCGGCACCATGATAGACGAAAAACTGAAAGCTATACCGTTAGTGACCGAAGTTAGGTTAACCAATATCCCGTAGTATAGCTGGATGAGCGAGGTCTTTGTCCATAACCCTGGATCTGGGTACAAGACTTCGGGTTCGTCCTCCATGTTCCCATAATTTCAAAACAGCAGGAACAAAACGAGAGGCAAACCTACCTCTATAAAAGATTGTATCATGAAACTTCCTATTTACATTATGTTGCCAAAAATATAAACTATATAAATTTTACATAAAATTTTCAACACTGACGTCGACTGACAATTTCTGTTTGACGTCTTTTTTATTTCATAGTGAAGAATCATTCAAGAAGAATCTAATGCGATGTAGATTTCATAAATGGTACTCGGTGACTTAAGAACGAAATTATGCCAGTAAAATGGAGTAGTAGCTGTCATGCTGACTACATGTCAGCACTGGCGCAATTTAGAATTTCTGGAGTAATGCTTGACCTGCCCTCTCGCAACATGCACGCTATGGAGTGGCGGATATCGTAGCCTTTATTACTACTACTGTTGATACAATGCGTTTACACATGCCAGTAAAATGTTCACGAGATCATTTGAGATAAGACGTGCCAGTACTAAGTTTCCTACCCCCCTTAAAGTCTCTCTCAGCTTCATGCAAGCAGCTGTAACACTTACATTTTAGGTATTCTAGTTATTTTTTTAACCATTCTTGTAGCTGGAACGTTCCAGTACTGGAATGCAAGCATCCCACCTACGAGCATATGTATTCTCGGCTTTAAATAAAGTTTCCTTGACCTGACATATATCTTGCAGAAGTTAACTGTCGATAGCTCCCACTTACTGCATCCATCAGCGCCATGCATAAGAGCCAATATAGCGAAAATCAAATAGGCATAGTATTTTATGCCTAGTATCTTGTGCTTGTCCCTTAAAAAACTTCTTAACCAAAAAAAAAACGATTCCGATTAACTGTAATATGATCTTGTTAATCCAAAGGACGTAACGAATAAGAGCTATGTGTGGCAAAAATTGATTGGACTATAACTGCGTATCTAGAACAGCTCAATGAATCTTGTTCAACTTTTGGATAGAAGTGAATCATAGTCTAAAAACCTATATTTAGTTTTTAATACTACGCTGACGATGGCGCGGGAAAAAATATTGATAGAATTAGAAGATGAAAGTAAAATTTTAAATAAAACATTGGATACAGTTACTGTAATTTATTTATTTAACTTGTCAAATCTTTGATACAACAATTTATAAATGCATGCAAGTTAATTGACAGCCTGCTGTGCAGTACTGCAGTAAAATAGGACCCTAGACTTAAAAATTGGCGTTGGAATGCAACTGGCATAATGTAAATAATAACAGGAGACATGTAATATATGACACTACACATTGATTTAATTACATTTCAAGAACAAGCTGCCTTAAAAAAATACAACTTTTTTCTATAAAACAAATAGAACTTAAATAAATTTATAACTTTGTCTAGAATTTTTAAATAGCACTAATATTAAAAAAAAAATTGTTAACCCCTTTTATTGTATAACCAACTTTTGCCCGCAAATTACATTAGCGCCGAATTAGAGAAAAATGGTCGTCTATAATATTTCCGCGTGCATCTACTTTCCAGTCAAAATAAGTCCAATCGTTTCAAAAATAAACTTCAGGTATTATTTAATAATATCTTGATAAACATAAATAATCTCGTTTACACATACACAAATTGTATAACAATAACTTCCTAATGGAAAAAAAAATCATTACTCCAAAATATAAATGTATACATAATGTAAACTATTACTATTATTTTAAAATATAAAAGTACATCAAAATATTGTACAGAATGTTCCATGATTTAGCCACACGCAAAAGAACCGACCCTAATAATGTCTACATCGCCGTAAGAAATTCTATACATAAAATAACTATATTGAACTTTGAGTATGTATCTACTTATCAGAATTCTTTCTATTACTTCAAGGTTGTGCTGTTCTTTGACATTTTGGTGCTTCCACAGTAGTAATCTTGATTCTGACAGATTGTAAACGGAGCTTACGAAGCGAAGTGTTTGAAATTTGTTTTAGAATTCGACCATAAGATGCTAGATATGAAACGTTGGATGACATTAAACCAATTTAAAAACATAAGGAACCTCACCTAGAAAGCCTCCAATAATAATACGCAAAATACATTAATACTGGAAATAACAATTCTGAAACTCATAACTACAAAGCGAAAACTAACCCAATTGTCCTATCATAACCCAGGGCACGATCAGATAGCCCAGGGTACAGAAGATCATGAACACGTAGATACTGGCGACTGGTATCCAGGAGTGCACAGTCTGCAGGTTGTCCTTCCAATACGAGGTACATGTACACTGATCACACCATCGATTGAATCGCAACTAATAGCTGGGAAAAAGCAAGAGTATTTACATTATAAGAGCTGTCGCCTAAAAACTTTCTTCTTTTTTCTTTTTAGTGAACAAGCAAGTTCACTAAAATGATAATTCGCTAGTTAAATTTGATTTAGGTTTCTTTTTAGTTTAAATATAAATTATATGATTTTGATGTTACCTAAGAAAAAAGTAAGCATGCGTGTTCCAAATTTTCTGTACAAAATTAATCCAACAACTGTAAAGATGACTCGTAAGATACCCATCGAAATTGTCAACCAGTATTTATCTAAGGAAGCTCCGGATGCCTGTAAAGAATTTAATATATTAATTAATTGAAAACATGGAAAAACAAAAGTAAGACTTCTAGAAATCTATATGATAGACCAACTTAGGGCTGGCTTTAGGGAAGGTTGTGGTTGGGCTACAATGCCAGGGCTGTAGCGGCCCCACTGGAAAGATAGATGCGACAGGTCTGCGAATCTTGAATAACCTTTTTATACCTCCTACCAAAATGCTATGCAAAGGGGTACTCAAAAAATCTCACGCAAGGCCCAGATTTGCTTTTAATAAAAATATTCTTAACTCGTTTTCGCCAGCGATTCACACAATTATTATAAATCAAGCAAATAATATTAAATCGTAAAAGGTTTTCTAAACGATTAGTTATTATAACTCTAAAAGAAATATACAATAGATATTAATTAATGTAATATTTTAATTGCAACTTTCTACAAATATTTAACAAAACGTTTTCGACTAATAAAAACCGACAGACATACAACACGTTGCTTGGATCTTATCTGTTAAAGCTCTTGGACTTGATTCTCATAAGGGATCTGCTCTCTGCACTGCCGAGCTGACGCGACAACGCCATCATCGAGCGAATACGACGTTGTGACGTCAATGTAGGACGTCTCTCGTTGAAGAACTCTTCGATCTCTTGCAGCGTCAAATCCTTTGTCTCCGGCAAATAGAAGTAGACGTATAAGGCACCTGGGGACATTCGAAATATACCAATTGTTAATTCAAAAACTGCAAAAAACAGAGACTCAGAATATTTTAAGAAAAGCTAATAAAGTAAGTAAAGTAAGCAACCAATAAAAGGAGATATTTCTAACCTATTAAAGAAAATATACTAAATCCTAGTGTTACATTAGCAAATCCAATAAGACTGCAAATAGGTAGATATAATGCGTTAACGGCAAACGTTGTACCATTTAATGTTGCTATTCCCAGACCTCCAATTACGCCACGAATCTGGAAAGAAATATTTTTTGTTTATGAAATGTTAGAATAAACATATTACAAAAGTTTAAAACCATTTACTTAAACTATAACATATAATAATATGTTAAACTCTCGTTAATCACGGGGTCTTTAGAAGATTCCGTTGGTCTCCTGTAGATTGGAATACTTTTCAATTTTTTTTTTTTTATAACGTAAGGTGGCAAACGAGCAAGCGGCCACCTGAATCCACCGAAATGGAAAGTGACCGCTGCCCATAAACATTCGCAATTGCAGATGCGTTGCTCACCCTTGATTGACGGAGGAGGAGACGCACATAAAGAGGACATTTTCCCTTCCTATGAGTCGCCTCCACCATCAAATCCTTCCCATCCTTTCCACTTAAGAAAAGGGTGGAAAAGGAAAGGGACTAAAATTAGGCCACCGGCACCACACTCATCAGACGAAACGCGGAATTGCTTCCACTTCAAGCCTGTTTTCTGTGTGGTCGTGGTATTACACCGGGCGAGCCGACCCATTCGTGCGAAGATGTTAAAGCGGGCTCTACCACTGTTAAAATTACCACTTCCCTTAATTCAAATCAACTATTTCTCCTCAACTTGTCTATATGCACAAAAAATGTCAAAAGACCTGGCTACAAGTCAAATAATAGAGTAAACTATGCTTACTTGCAAAGGTGACAGTTCAAAAATTAGAAGCATGGGCAGAGGATAATAACCAATGCTTGCAACTATAACATAAAGCATAAAGAAGACAAAGGGCAATACGCTCTGTTGAGTATTGTAACTTATATATATCCCAAAGAATAAACACACAACGAACACGCCCAAACCTGTAATGCAAAATAATTGACTATATCCACAACTCTATCTATCAGCACGTGTTTTCATTAATCGAACACTCGGTCGTTTTGCAAGGATCGAGAGATTTCTTGTTCTTGCATAGCGCGCGAATGCGTGAACCGTTTTCAATAATCATTAGGGCCCCATGGGTGATTTTCCTTACACACAGCACCCTTACGTGGACGTAGAATTTGTAAACAATCTCTGCTGCTGTTCGATGACTTCAGCAGGCACATCTTTATTTATCTTACTTCTTATTAATATTATAAATGCGAAAGTTTAGATGGATGGATAGATGGAAATTTGTTAGAGTTTGTAGCCTAAACGGCTGAACGGATTTCGATGAAATTTGGCATAGATGTAGAAGATACTCTGGAAGAACATATAGGCTACTCACATTTGTTTTTTTTTTAAATTCCGCGCGGACGGAGTCGCGAGCGAAAGCTAGTTATTATTAATACTTTGTAATTTCATTCGCAATATATAAATAAACAGTACTTACTCGATACTAATGCCAAAATTTTTCGACCCACTTTCAGCATTAAAAAAGAAGTACCGATGCCAACGAGAAGCCTTACTATAGCTAGTGCAATATTGCCAGCATCGGGGTCAACGCTCGATTTAGATTTCTGGACATTAATAGTAAATTAGATATTAGTTTTCAAACAAGACTAGATTCGTTCTCATTTCTTAAACAGAAATTTAATACAAGATATCTTACTTATGTTGCTAATATTATAAATGCAAAAGTTTAGATGGATGGAAAAACTCAGTGAGTGTTCTACTGGGCCAATTTTCATCATGATTCGTTAAGCAAACAAACTTTCGTATTTATAACGTTAAGTATGATTATTGTGTTAAATTGAATAAATAGGTTGAAACTCACATCCAACATCTCGATCGTCCACATTAGTAGAAGATTAATGCCAACTAACTGTGATATTATTATGTAAGTGACTATCATCGAGAATGGTTTACAAGCGGATTTACTGAACAACATCTGCATCTGCTCATGTAGACTTAATCTGAAACATTTTAAATTACATTAGACGTTTCGAAAAAAGTTTGATACCACAGAGGTTGCACTATCAGTCACTACAAGGCCGATCGTGCCATCAGTAAATATCTAATTGTTGCAAACTATATGAATGGGAAAAAGTAGGCTATCAGATATTTTCACGAAACTTTTGAAAGGAAAAAGTGGACATATCGTGGAAAAGCAAATTTTAGTAAATAGAAAGCAACGTTATTAACCTACGAAGTCTGTTATCCGACTTGAATTCCAATAACGTATCCATTTCTGCTTCGATATTGTAGTGTACAGATCTGAACTTCCTTAAAGTCATTTTAGTTTTCTCAGGCGTGCTCGTCATCAAAAGAAAATATGGCGTCTCCGGAAATATGAAGGCGAGAAGCACCAAAACGACGCTATAGAAACCATTAAGACATGCCAAACTAGGCCATTTCATAAATGCACCGAAAATCGCCTGGGAAAAAGATTATGGGTAGCGTTAATGGCTGTTAGTCGGACTACTCACTTGTTGAGTGAAATTTCCTAGTTACCTGTAAAATAACTCCAAGAGCAATACCGACGCTGGAAAAGGAACCATTCACACCTCTCATATTAGGCAGTGATATCTCAGTGACATACGCTCGAGGAGGAATCATGCCCATGCCACACCCCAAGCCAAGTATAAGTCTACCTGCACGGATAAATAAATATTGCATATTCTCTTCACTGTAAGAACTTCAGTTAAATCTAATTATATGCGTATCAAAATTGGAGCGCCTGTATCTATAATAATATCGAAAGAAAAAAATCTAGATTTCGAAAAGATGACAATGCTATGCTGATAACAAAAATCGCGTCAAAAAAAATTGTCTGTCGCGTTTGTTTCGAGTAATCTCCGATACGGCTGGCTCGATGTTGACAGGACTTTGGAAGGTAGCCGATGCGCGCGGGTATTTCATAGACATAAAGGCTTTTTTAATTTCGCGATGTCAATATGGCCATCGATTGCTATCCCTGGATCGGGTGGATCGATGTTGACGGGACTTTGACCGTAAGGAGCTGATGCGCGCGGAAATTTTATTAAAGGTTATATTTTAATTCTGCCCTGACGAAGTTTGCGATCGACAGCTCGTGTACATATGAAATTCGGAAGTCGCATACTCAAGACCTGCAGATTACAAGTCAAGCAATTAACTCCTGAGCCACCGACACTATTACAGTCGAATCTTTAATCAATTATCGTCTGTGAACTATCTTATTATCAAGTATTGTAACAATATAGTATTTTACAATTGATTTTCAAACATTACCAATAATTAACTCGATGGCAGTAGTTGCAAACCCGATAATGAACCATCCGATAATCATGGGTACTTCGCAGATGATCAGCGTCAGCCGTCGCCCGTGAGTATCCATTAGGAAGCCGCTAATTACGTTACCAATCATCGTGGTTAAAGGCAATACACTTACTGAAAAGTAAAAGCATATTAGGCCTAGTAGCTATTTTATTCACTTTTGAATCATACATCTTACATCTAGGGTTCTTTTTTCATGAAATAAACACACACCTATCAACGACTCTTCCGTCATTGATGTTATAATTTTTGGATCGACTGTCAGCAGTTGTGGCACCATGACAGACGAAAAGCTGAAAGCTATACCGAAAGTGACCGATGTTAGGTTAACCAATATCCCGTAGTACAACTGGATGAGCGAGGTCTTTGTCCATAACCCTGGATCTGGGTACAAGATTTCGGAATCTTCCTCCATGTTCCCATATTTTCACAACAGCAGGAATGAAACGAGAGGCAAAGTAACCTCTATCAATAATACACACAACTTACTATTTACATTATGTCGCCAAAATATGAACCAAATTCCACATAAATTTTACGTTAAATTTTCAATACTGACATCGACTGACAATTTCTGTTTGACATCTTTTTATTTCATAGCAGAGAAACATCCGAGAAGAATCTATTGCGATTTAGATATAAACGAGCTATCGCCCGCGACTCCGTCCGCGTGGATTTAAAAAAACAAAAGTGAGTAGCCTACGTATTCTTCCAGACTATCCTCTACATCTATGCCAAATTTCATCGAGAACCGTTCAGCCGTTTGGGGTGCAAAGTCTAACAAACATCCATCCATCCAAACTTTCGCATTTATAATATTAGTAAGATAGTAGTCGGTGACGTAAGGTCGATATTACAAGTATCTTCTACAATTCTTGCAAAATTCGACAGTTCCACTACACTTTAGAAAGCATAAATGAGAAGATCATACTAATATTATAAATGCGAAAGTTTAGATGGATAAATGGATGTTTGTTAGAGTTTGTACCCTAAACTGCTGAATGAATCTCGATGAAATTTGCCACAATTGTAGAGGATAGTCTGGAAGAGCACACAGGCTACTTGTTTTTGTTTTTTTTCTTTAATCTACAAAGACGGAGTCGCGGTCAAAAGCTAGTGTGAAATAAATGAGACATCTTACATTTATATTATCAATCTTTAATTAATTGCAATGATGTTTTTAGTTTATATTAGCCCATATATAAATCTCTGGTGTGTACGAATGGGTATATGAATGGTCTCGTGTATTTGTTGTTTGCGAACTGTGCAGTGAAGGCTGGGGCCTGCTTCGCGGCAGGTGGGCCACCACGCGTTTCTTCTTCGATGGCCGACAATATCTGCAGCAGAGTGGACCGGGATATGTTACTGAATTCTATACCGTCCGTCTTTTTAACTGTATTCTTATCTGCAAACATTTGAATAGGTTATGTTCTTTCAATCTCTTTTATGTGATAACAGATTTCAAACAAGTAATTCCAAAGGCACAAGTAAAGGAATTAAATGAACGATTTTAAAAATTTTTAGTACATTCTGAAATGTATTTCGAACACTAAACTTTATAAAATTAGTAAGATTAAAAATACTTATTTTATTTACCTGATTTCATTTTAATAATGTCGTCCAAACGAGCGACGCACGCGCAGAACACTGCCAGCAAACACAACGCTTGTATCAATGGACGCTGTTTCATTGCGACTAGTCAATGTTTACAATCCAAATGTGTAAGCAACGTTGAAGTTTCCATAATAAGTCATGCAAAAGTCAATCTGTATTTACTTGTACTTTTTATTGAAAAATAATCCCGGTTTACTTTAATAGGGGCTTGTTACCAAAGACCGTAACGAATAAGATCTAAATATTTATGTGTGATAAAAATTGATGGATGTTTGTAATTGCGTATCTCCAGAATGGTTTAACGAATCTCGCTGAAATTTAGGATAGAAATGTCTAATGAACATAAATTGGGAAGCAAAAGGTTAGCGTGGTATGGACATGTTATGCGACGAAACGATGGGGACATAAACCAGAAAGTGTTAAGATTGAATGTGGATGGCTACTAAGGTAGAGGAAGACCGAAGAAAGTATGGATGGATTGTGTGTAAGAGGATATGCTTAAGAAATGAGTGGATTAAGATATGACGGCTGAGAGATGTATGAAAGAGTAGCACATTTGTGCCAACCCTCCGTAAGGGATAAGGGCAAGTAGATGATGATGTCTAATGAACATAGTGTGGAAGAATACATGTTAGTTTTTTTTTTCGAAACCGCGCGAACGTAGTCGCGGGAAGAAATGTATCTTTTGAAAATTCAAAATAAATGTTTGAAATAAAACATTGGGTACGGTTTTTACAATTTATTTATTTAACTTGTCAAATCTTTGATACAACAAACTTTCATCACATTTTATAAATGCATGTAAGTTATTTGAATTCCTGGTTCACAATATTTCTCTCTCCTCTGTAACTTAAAATGTTTTGTGTTTCCCTTTGACTTTAACTTATTGAGGTTCTACTGTAGTAACTGGAGACAGTATATACCAGGCCAGTACAATTAAAACATTGATTTTATTACATTTTAAGAAAAATACGCTGCCGTTCAAAAATGCAGATTTTCACTATATTACAAACATAACTTAAATAAATAAAACTTAAAACTATATCTACAATTGTTAAATGGCACTATTATTAAAAAGATATTGTTAATCACTTTTATTGTAAAACAACACTTAATTTTAAAGAAAATGTGTTACACTTAGTGTATTTAAATAGTCACTAAGGGTTCCTTAGTGTATTGTGTAAGGGAGATCGATACTAAGCGGCTTAACTCTGAAAGCAGCAGAATACCTTTTATTATGATTTTAATTCCCGCGTTTTTCATTTCAATACATTCAACAAAATTGTAGACTGGATTCTGAATGGTTTTGTTTCATTTAAACTTACAGTTTTTTAAGACATTCTAAACTATAGAATCTATCAAGTTTAGTAAAATTCTCATACAAATATGTAAATTCAAAAATTCAATAAACTATACATACTGTGCGTATCGTTATATTTATTTAGCACCATACTTCATTTTTAATTGTATCAGCATAATCTCGTAAGATTTAATTTTATTACTAATACGTATTATTTAATAATACCTTGGTATATAAAAAATAATCTCGTTTATAACAAAAATTGTATAACAATTATTTTTATGAAAATCACATGATTTCATAAAAATTATGGCCTAATTTTAGTCCCTTTCCCTTTCCACCCTTTTCTTAAGAAGAAAGGATGGGAAGGAAAAGTGGATTTGACGGTGAAGGAGATGCATAGGAAGGGGAAATGTCCTCTTTATGTGCGTCTCCTTCGTCGTAGAAGGGTAGGCAACGCATCTGCAATAGCGGATGTTTATGGGTAGCGGTCGCTTTCCATTTCGGTGGATTCAGGCCGCTTGCTCGTTTGCCACCTTATATTATAAAAAAAAATGTATACATTTTAAATTATTACTGTTAATTTGAAAAGTACATCTAAATATTGTACAGAATGTTCTATAATTAAGCTACATGCAAAAAGCGACCCTAATAATATCTACATCGCCATTCTATTCATGTAATAACAATATTGTACTTTGAGTATGTATCTACTTATCACAATTCTTCTTTCCTTTACTTCAAGGTAGTGCTGTCTGTGTGCTGTTCTTCTTCAACGTCTTCGTTCTCCCACAGAAGTAATCTTCTATCTCCTGTAGAGTTCTCCCTTTCGTCTCCGGTAGGAAGAAGTAGAAGAATATTATACCTGAAAGTTTTGGATTACGTTAAAAAATGTGCTAAAAATATTTATATAATATAATAATTATAAAGCCTGCCGCATATGCTTAATACTAACTACAGTTCGATTGTTCAATTACAACATTGTGTGTGTGAAAATTGACAGCAAGTTGAATTGAGCATAAGTACCGAGCTTTATGTCTAGTATTTAGTACTACTACAAACAAATAATATCAATTCAAATACAGTAAAGAAGATAATAAAGGAACATTTTTATATAACAGTAATTGTTAATAAGAAGATGAAGTATGAACAAAAGGATGAAGAAACAAACCAGAAGGAAAATATTGAAATACATGAAAATGTAGGGAATTTACCTAAAAGGTAGTACATCTTACCTCCTAACGACATAGCGCCATAGAGCCCAAATGCGCCGTAGTCATTGAGCGAAGCTTTAAGGAAGGGGAAGGTCTTCACCACGGAGAAGACTGACAGATGCGCGGCGCACGTCGTCATGCCGCCCACTATACCACGCACCTGATACCAAACAATAAACAACAGACTTATTAAAACTCTTGCATTATTTCACTCTTATTTCTATAACTTCCTTTCATCCGCGACTCCGTCTTCGTGGAATTAAAAAATCAAAAGTGAGTAGTCTATGTGTTCCAAACTATCCTCTACATCTATGCCAAATTTCATCGAGACCCGTTCAACAATTTAGGCTACAAACTCTGACAAACATCCATCCATCTAAACTTTAGTCTTTATAATATTAGTATGAAGTAGATGTGTGCTACCAATCTAACTGAGATCATAATATCTAGACGTCCTTATTGGAGTTGTTATTTCACAAGTGTAAACATTTGTAAAAGTACCTCTTAGGTACTTCAAAATTAAAAATGATATTATCACAAATATGGTCGACGAACTTTGAAAATAAGAAATAATAATTCTTAAATTTACAACTACAAATAGAAAACTAACTCAATTTTAATTAATTACCTGAGTAGGATACACTTCGCCTATCATAACCCAGGGAACGATCAGATAGCCCAGGGTACAGGAGATCATGAACACGTAGATACTGGCGACTGGTATCCAGGAGTACACAGGCTGCAGGTTGTTGTCCTTCCAGTACTGGACGTGGTACATGTACACCGATAACACTATCATTGTTGAACCGCATCCAATGGCTGCAACAGGCAAACATATTTCATACTAGCGATCAAGACCAGCTCGCCGAAAGAATACGTCTCATATCTATTCTATTATTATATATTCCAGTTGGTATAAAATGTAGCCATGTTCCTGTGATAACGTAGCTTTTTAAGTGTGAAAGAATATTTGAAATCGGTTTAGTAGTTACGGAGCTTATTCAATGCAAAACAAATCTTTTTTACAACATAAAGCGTAGAAAAGACGAAGTACCGAAACTGTCAATAAACTCTTTGAGACTTATCGGAATTAATGTTCAATTAAGTTTAAAAACAAAAAAAGGCAGAGGTCTTTAACCAATGTTCTCTTTTACATTTCATTAATCTTACTAAATTATAAATGCGAATGTTTATATGGATGTTTGTTAGAGTTTGTAGCCAAAACGGTTAAACGGCTCTTAATGAAATTTGGTATAGGTGTAGAGCATAGTCTGGAAGAACACATAGACTGTCTACTTTCGTTTTTTTTTAATTCCACGCGGACGGAGTCGCGGGCGAAAGCTAGTGTAGGTATATTACAAGTAATTTCATCACAGCGAGGATTCGTGAGGTAGTTGTTTTTGTTCAGGGTTTTGTTAAAATATGAATGATATTTTTTTGACAAGAACATAAATGTTACCTGAGACAAAAGTAAGCATTCGTCTGCCACATTTTCTGCACAAAATACATCCAACAACTGTAAAGATGACTCGTAAGATACCCATCGAAATTGTCAACCAGTATTTATCTAAGGAAGCTCCGGATGCCTGTAAAGAATTTAATATATTAATCGACCAACTTCAGTGCTGACGTTAACGCCGTGAGGTTGTGCGACCGCTCAGAGCGTCGGACTAATGGGCATCACAGCAAAACACACAGTCTCTCAACAGTTCTACAAAAGAAAGAAATCTCACCCAAAGCACTAGTATTAAAACTGACTGACCAACAAGATTTAGATTTATCTATACTTTATTTATTATAATAAATCGTAAACACACACTTCTTTGTTGTCTAAGATGTCAGCAATTACAGCATATTTTTCAATAATTCTTTTCCTACACTTACGTCACGCTTTAAGCTATATATTTTCACGTCATTAAACTTAGGGGGTAAATATGTTGGATTTTTATCCAACATATTTAGTAGGGTTTTTACCCTAATGTGGAAAAGAGGCCATAAGTTGCTGCCAACATCAAGGAAGCAAGACTGCCAGGTTTTGTTATGTCATGTTATTTTGACATTTGCTATTGACAATTTGACACATGTAAACTTTAAAATAAGATTTTCATAATTTCATGCGGATGAAGCCGTACGGGAACAGCTAGTTTCTAATAAATATGTTTCTCAATTACCTCAAATACTTCGACAGCGTAAAATGTGATTGTATTAACACCACACCATTGATAGATGAAGAAATAAACCGCTAAGATCGTAAATGGCTTTAAAGCTGATGGTGACAATAAGGCTTTTAAAACTTCTTTGGGCGTCTTCAATCTGCAAAAGAAAGACGTAAAAGAGTTACGAGTTGCAATACAGTAGGATTCCAATTACAATAAAACTAAAGATGTATCCATTTCTTTTATTTTCAGTAAATAAACAGAGAACTGTTTTCCAAACATATTTGTGCAGTGGAACATTATTACATGCTTGTTTGCTGTGACGTTTTCAATATAAACAGTTACAAGGGACGTAAATATTTATCGATAAAGTAATGAAATCGAACTATAAACGTGATTCCGCAATTCCACGCATTACGAGTATTAATAAGTTATAAACAATTGTTTGCTATACCTTGAGCAACAAACAACGTAATGAAGTAAACAAAATGATTATAACATACACAAAATCATTCTATCGCTTACAATGTTGTTAATTAACTGATTACACCGTGTCCTGTTTCTCCTGCTTGTGTTATATTTCTAACATTCTTACCTCTGCGTCGTCAATAAATTGAAATTTATATGGTCAATTACGCTTTTCTAGCGCATTAGGGTTTAGCATAGTTGGGCGAGCACCCAGAGCGCTCAGTGGGGCGTCGCGGTAGCAAACAAAAGCGATCTCGTGGCGCCCCACATAATGGCCAGGAGGAAACGGAGGGGTTTAGTGGGTATGCCCCATTATGGGGAGAGTCCCACATAACTCTCATGTCTGCCCCGAGGCACGGAGTAAGCATAAGGCATTCCCCTTCGGCAAAAAAAAGGCAACCAGAGCGCTGGAGAGAAAGGGGCGCTACACAGTCTCACATAAACTGCTTCTAAAAGCTGATAAAATGGATCGCAGTAGAATTGCTGCACAAGTCGATAGGACTATAACTACAAAGCTATTGCGCAATTAATATTAAGATGTTCAACTTACGGTTCAACGTGATTCTTCTCTTTGAAGGCTATCATACGTTGTATTTCCTCATCCAGATCGCAGGTGGACCCTCGTAATTTGGCTAAGGAGCTCTCAGCGCGTTCCCGCTTGTCCTGTTGCAGTAGGAAGTTGGGGGTCTCCGGAATCAGTAGCATGCCTAGCAAGGATACGATGGGGATGATAGCGCTCACTCCTGCTAGAATGTTCCATGTTGTCACGCTTCCTATCACGTACTGAAATAAAAAGTAACAACTTGGAATACATTTCAATCTACCATCTTACGATTACTAACGAGCACGTCAACACTTTAGGTCGATGATTTGCAGGTCTCTTGGGATTAAGGGAAGATTCGGCGAGGGTGCAAAATTATGATATAAAGTACTCATACTCAAGATAAAAAAAGCTGTAATGGTGGACAGAATGAAAAAAAACTCTAGCTTGAAATTTTATAAGCTATTTTTTTTAGAATCCAAGTGTAAGTGACATGGTACTAAAGGCCGAATACTAAAATTTTAAATATGCTATGTCTTACAGGCCACGGTTTAAAACCAAATTCATTATACATTTAGACATCTGTCAGATTGTAAGCGGTGCATACGAAGCGAAGTGTATAAGTGTAAAGTGTGTCCAAGTGTAAAATACGTTTTAAAGTATCTGTTTGATTACAGATTAGCATCTCAAGTTTTATAATTAATCAAAAAAATTCCCACGAACTCATTTGTTTTGAGTAAAGAATCATAATTGATTATGTTCAAATATTATACAAAAATGTCGTGTCTAAATTGATTGTGTATAAAATTAGCGAGCCTTATCACGAGTGTGGTGTAATGTGACGTCACGAGTCAATGACAAATGACGGTGTTAACATGTTTGTTCGCGGTTGAATAATCTAATTTTGTACTCAACAATATTTACCTTACAGTTATCGATTATAAAAGTGTCACGATTGTACATTGTATCAACCCTAAAATAGAATATTTTTTTCCGAAACTCACATATGAGTATACCTTCAATAAAATTAGAGAAGCTTTCAAATGTTCCTTCTCATGCATTTTTAAAGAAGTTAATTTGAAAATGAGAAAGTCTGTCAATAACTATTACGGATGATATATTCTATGGTTTAAATCGTGATATTTTCATAAAATTAGTATTATTTTGCACATATTGGCTTTGCAAATATCCTGGTGATGACATTATTATATAGTTCCTGAGACTATTATTATGTTAATGATTTGACGCACTTTACCTATACTCAAAAAATGTAATAAACGATTTTCATTTATTAGTGTTTACTACATTATCAAAAAGCTTATTTACATCATATAAGCCCGATAAAAACCATATTATGGTAAACACTGACCTGTATAAGAACGCCAGTGGACACGCCCACTGACGCCAGTGCACCCAGCATTCCACGAAGATGTGGCTGAGAAACCTCACAGGTGTAGACGCGCGCCGGCGCACCGACCATACCAGACCCGAAACCGATCAGCAATCTACCTGCAAATATATATTTATTCTTGTAAAAGACTATACCAAAATATTGTAGTGGTAATCGACAAACTGGTCCAGTTAGTAAGGAATATGAGATCAGTTAAAGAGCTATCAGTTCGTATAGAGTCAAGTGAAGTAGTTTCCAGAAAAGGTTCGTGTTTTTAGAATTCTTAATCTTACAAAATGTTTCTGTAAAAAATCAAGTCTTCTTGGTATTACTTAATGGTTTCATATTTATATATCCTTACCAACATAAATCATAGGAACATTCTGTGCGGTGGCGATGAGGATCCAACCGAGGATGAGGGGTATCTCTGTGACGATGAGGGTGCGACGTCGCCCGATGGAGTCCATCAGGTAACCGCTCACGATACATCCTATAGGTGTGCCCGCCGCGCTTAAACTGGCTGGAAACATTACATATTCTTGTTATAACTGCCAGTGATTTTTTGGGATGGTGAATTCCCTGAAGTCCCCAGAACACCCGGCTAGGATAAACAATAGTATGTAATTGAATTATATAAGAACTAGTTGCCACTGGTGACTTTGCCCGTGTGATATTAAAATAACAGATAAATTACCTTTCTAATGGTGAAAGAATTTTTAAAATCGGCCCAGTAGTTTTAGAGTTATTTCAATACATACAAAAATACAAATCTTTCCTCTTTATAATATTAGTTAGCAACAGTCCTTTGTTTCTATCCTTTTATACTTCCTTATTTTACTGAAACTAGCTTATCAATTAAAAATCTTATTATTATACTAGCTGTTACAGTGCTACTTCAGCCGCATGAAATTATGGAAATGTTTACATTTGTCAAATTATTAATAGCAAATGTCAAAATGACATGATGACAAACCATGGCAAGCTTGCTTCCTTGATATTAGCAGCAACTTATGGTCTCTTTCCCACATTAGGGTTTTTATTTAAAATATTTACCCCCTTAAGTTTAATGGCGTAAAAATATATAACCTAAAGCGTGACGCATGTAGGGTCTTTTATTAAAAAAAAGAGTTATTCGAAAATATGCTGTGATAGCTGACATCTTAGGCAACAAAGAAGTGTGTCTATACGGTTTCTTATAATAGTATAGATAGTATAGAAGTATAGATAGTATAGATTTCTTCAAATCATTATCAATAAGAAAGTTCATACAACTATAATTAATCAGTTTAAATTAATTACTTAGATATCACATACATAACAGATTACAGTGACCGCTTCTGATCATTAAAATATAATCACATTATCAATCGTATTGAAACTTTATTATAACAGCTTAATAACATCTTATATTATTAAATAGATTAAGAATATCTAATTACAATAACAGAGATAAATACAAAGCTTTGTGTTTTAATGGATTAACTTTCTATTGGTTAATGAAAATTATTAAAACTTAAGCATTTGTGTTTTGAAGTAAATTTTGCAACTACAGTAAACCCTCGATAAGTCAAAGTCCAAGGGAAACACAAAATATTTTAAATTACAGAGGTTTTAAGTTATCAAGGGTCTCTGTTATAGAGGTTTTAAGCTCTGATGGGAAGGAAACTATTTTTTGAAGTTATAGAGGTTTTTATGTTATCGAGGTTCTTGTGTATAACAAAATTGAAATTGTCTCGACCTGTCTCTAACTACTGTAGTTCTATGTTAAGTTTGAATTTATCCTGACTTAAATTTTCGAGTATAAATAAAGTTTGGTATTGCAATTATCATGAGGTAACAAGGTCCTATATTAAATTATGCAGTTGACTGAACCGAAATAGATATAAAACACTGATAAATCAGTAGAGTACTGACCGATAAAGCCTGACTGACATTAACACAATCGTAAATAACGGTAGGTTTTCACTACCATCACACATAGCAATAATGCGATTTCAATTCTAAAGAGACCAAGAATTATGTGGCCCTTAGTCACCATTTAATAACGAACAGTATAAGTAGATTTAGAAAATATGTAATACTAGCTTTTGCCCGCGACTCCGTCTGCGTTCTTCCATACTATCCTTCAAAATTTCATCCAGATCTGTTCCGCCGTTTAAGGTACAAACTCTAACAAACATCCATACATATAAACACATTTATAACAATAGTAAGAAATATGATTTATCTTACCGATCCAACTGGCTTGATTGTCATTTATATGAATACTGGAATCAGGACTTTTTAACTGGGGTAGCGCAGTCGCGGAGAAGCCGAACGCCATACCCGTGTTAACAGTACCAATGTTGGCGATAAAGGAAGCCAGTACTTGCTTGAATGCCTTCCCCCTGCCAGCTTTACTGGACTTCTGAGGCTTCTCCGGTATTGCGGTCTTCGTAATAATCGCTGTGTTGCCATTCTTGACGAACGGCGTTGTATCTTTCCTGGGAAATGGATTTATTTTTTATTTTTCTGTCGTAATATGTGTACCAATTATTAACTAATATTCGAGATATCTAAACCTAGTAATGACTTTCTTTTATATCTTTGCCTCTAATAGCAAAGATATAAGCAAAATATTTATTTGGTAATAAGAAAATACTTAAAAGTACATTATAAAGGCGAAGCGTTCATTGTACAAACAAAGCATAAATATAATTACAAACAACTCTACGCTCTTTTGTTCCATACTTTGTTTATTCATTGAATAATTCATTGAAATTAAAGAGGTTATCAAAGACCACGTCGACTCAGGGTTATCGATGTTTTGTGTTAATGGCGATTATTTGACCTAACAACGTTAATTGTTTAACTTGAACACTAATGTTCGTTTGTTGAGATGTAAGTTAGAATTTATATTATCAATTACGTACATGTAAATACGAGATATCGTTTTTGAGTAATTTAAAAATTATTTTTTTAATGCAATTTTTCTATTAGTGAAATTGCTATTAATAAATTTAAGGCACATGTTAGATGTAATATTACCGTACAAACGCCAGGTAGATCAATCACGTTTTTGATGAAAGGTCGTGATTATTTTCCCTAACAAAGGACAATGAAATCCAGGCCGATACAGTCGCTATTTAAATTAACGAATAAACAACGTTACAGGAAAATAAAAGCTATAAAGTAGCAAAGAAACCCATGACCTGGATCTACTAGATGCTAATAGAAAGGACAAGACAAATGAAAAATTAATATAAATAATTTTAATAAAACAAAAAAGCGCCAAATATCTTCAAAGATGTAGTTAGTTAGACCAAAAATATTTATTTTCATTTCATTCTACAAATTGGTTACTATACTTTTATTTTTTACTCCATCAAATACAGTTACAAAAGTATATTTATAGAATAAATTACAATGCAAATAGTAATATCTTATCAAAGGTTTTCTAATGTTATCTATACCACTTGCATCATTTAATTAAACAAAACTTCACATGTAAAACATTTTTAGTGTTGTTAAACCTATAAATATTTTACAATTCGACCTGTTTGACGTAGCGTGGTTGTATCTGTAGACTCTTGTACAATCAGGGAATCTAACGGTGACCCACTTTAATAGTTCTCGTTTGGACATTTTGTACGCATTGAGAAAAGGATAACAACCAATGAGAAACCATTTTAAATGTGTTTATAATAAAAGGTCATTTAGAGGTAGCGAATTGCTTTTTATTATTATTATTATTTATAATGAAAGGTGGCAAACGAGCAAGCGGCTACCTGAATCCACCGAAATGGAAAGCGACCACTGCCCATAAACATCCGCAATTTCGGATGCGTTGCCTACCCTTGAGTGACGGAGGATTGAGGAGGAGACGCACATAAAGAGGACATTTCCCCTTCCTATTCGTCTCCACCACCGTCAAATCACATTATCTTGTTGTTTTCACAACTGACTGCTTTTCTTAGAGGCGAGTTTGTGTGAAAGTGGAGTAATGCGTATGGCCCTGACTGTACATATGTACATATGGTTTTTATTTCACATGTTTCGTTATAAATGTAGGTACACATATTTATTACGTGTTTACTTTATTTGCTTAATACATTTGGCCGTGACACAATGATAAAGTGTGTAAATACCATCATACTGTCATTAAATGAAAATTTACTTCTAATTAATGATAATGAATTTGAACTTCACCATGATTTTCCACTTGTCATATAGTAAATGCTAATTAAATAAATCTTCTATCTATACTTAATATAATAAAGCGTAAACACACACTTCACTGTTGCCTAAGATGTCAGCAATTACAGCATGTTTTTCAATAATTATTTTTTAATAAAAAGCACTAGACTTACGTCACGCTTTAGGATATATTTTAACGCCATTAAATTTATGGGGTAAATATTTTTGATAAAAACCCTAATGTGGGAAAGAGACCATAAGTTGCTGCTAACATTAAGAAAGTAAGATTGCCAAGGTTTGTCATGTCATGTCATTTTGACATTTGCTATTGATAATTTGCCAAATGTAAACAATAAAAGAAGGAACAGCTAGTACTAATACAAAGATGAAAACTTTGTTAGTTTGATTGTAATGAATAGGCTCACGACAGGACCGTTTTTAAAAATTGTCACAATTTGAAAGCTACATTATCCGCGACTAACGTAGCCTATTATTTTTAATAATTACATGCGGGCGAAGTCGCGGGCAACAGGTAGTATTAAATAAAGTCTATCTTATGATTCAAATGACCAGAATTTTATTGTCGAAAAACTTTTATTTTTATTAATAACACTTTTTATTGTGACTCCTTCCGAAATTAAAAATAACTTAATAATATATGTGTTCTTCCAGACTATTTTCTACATCTGTGACATATATTATGATCTGTTGGGCATTATTGGACCTTCTATTACTTGTTCTTTGATAGAACTTCACGGCAAATCACTCGAAAATATTATTTTGTCTTTAAATCAAGTAAAAAATCCTTTATGAAGGTGAGAGAATTATTAGTCAAGGAAGTGTTGATTCTATTTTTCTCTGTATTTCGTAGGTAATTGCTTATTACAATTACCGTACTCTAAGTGGTCCGCAAACAAGATAGTAATCACGTGCAGTCATCCTGCGTCAGGTGATAACAATAATTAATACTGTTAGTGGTGGTAAATGAAATTTCACAACTGTAACATAACCACATAGTGTTTGTAGATGGCTAACTTTAGCTCGCGACTTCGTTCCTGTGAATTTAAAAATCTCTAACAAATTTATGCGCCAATAGCCAATAATGGTTTGGTGTACGGACTACCGACCTTGCGGTCGAGGGTTCGAATCCTGACATTCGACTATTATCGTGAACCATATCCTAGCACAAGCCTGGAGCTTAGTTGGAATGGTAAAAGGAAATATTACTAAATTAACAAAAATCTACTAATACTCTTTTATAAAAAAAATAATACAGCCAGTTTTTTATTTTATACTCAGTGGAAATGTAGCTTTCTAATTTTTCATAGTTTCGGAAACTATTCAAAGTAAATTGAGCAAGCAGGGTTGACTATGGCCTAGTAACATCTAAGGGTAAGCTCGGAGCCCCTCAGTGAGGACGAGGACGAGGACAACAAAGCGAGGTCATAGAACTGTTACTAATACTAAAAATCGCTTAAAAGCAATCACAGATTGCAAAGCTAACGATCGATTGTACGCAGACATGAGTAAATAACATCAATACGATGGAGTTAAGTGGGAATTTAGTACATATCTAAATATTATAAATGCATGTATTTTAACATTGGCTTCCTTACATAAATTGATTTCTTTCTCAGTTTTCCTAAAAGCATGTTGAACTACTAAATACTGCTAAATCCTGGTTATTACTAGTATTATGAAGTTATCTTTCTAGAAATAGGAGTAGTAAAATATTTATACGGTCATAAATTTATTTATTGTGGTCCTCACGTATTGTTAATTCCAAATGAAAAAATAGCAAAAGTAAATGAATTTTATATAAGCCGTGATGTCACTTTTAACGCCACGTGTTTGTAAATGAGCATTCTTGATCGAACAGCGTTTATGGACTAACAACTCAACACACGTGCTTAAGGTGTCCTAACCTAGAGGGGTAGGCAGATTCGGTTTTATCTGGCGCGATCCCGTCTCTCCTACATATCTACTACAGTAAAAATGTCTGTTATTGTTAATTTACATTACTCGTAATTTATTTGTTTAATTCCCAATTATTATTCTTTATTGCAATTTTATATTTAGGGAACCAATATTTAATTGTACAACATTTTTTAAACGTATGTTAAAAGTACTATAATAAATAGCTATAATAGTATTTAAGTTATATGAAAGTTGAATATTTATTAAATAAATATTTTCCATACAAAAACTAAACACATACCTGTCCTATAAATATCGGTACAAACTGGTTAGGTTATTAATATTTTATTTATATTAATATACTAGCTGTTTCCGTGCGACTTCATTCGCATAAAATTATGATAACTCTATTTTATTGTTTACATGTGTCAAATTATCAATTGCAAATTTCAAAATGACAACGGTGACAAACCGTGGAAACCTTGCTTCCTTGATGTTGGCAGCAACATACGGTCTTTTTCCCACATTAGGGTTTTTATCCAAAGTTTTTGCCCCCTAAGTTCAATGACGTGAAAATGTATAGCCTAAAGCATGACGTAAGTGTAGGGCTTTTTATTAAAAAAAGAATTATTCAAAAACATGCTGTAATTGCTGACATTTTAGGCAACAAAGAAGTGTGTGTTTACGCTTTATTATAATAGCATAGATTTGTAATAATTAACCAGTTTCATCTGGTGTGTGTTATGTGTTTAATATTATCGTGAATACTTGCTATATGGAGACTACTCTAAAGGTGATTTTCCATTATTATTTTTATCACGTTTCCACTGATGATTTATATAAGACTAGTGGAACTCGGCATGTTTTACTTTTCATTGCATTAGGACTTAGACACCGTTCGCGTGGTATTAAAAAAACAAAAGTAAGTAGCCTATGTGTTCTTTCATACTTACTACGTCTGCGCTAAAGGAGTTGTACAAAAATGGGCCTTTTTTTGAAAATCAACGTACAAGAAACCTTTATAAACAAAAGATAAAGACGAAAAAAAAAGAACAAACAACATATTTTTAATTTTTTCTGAACCGTCATTTTATTTTAAATTTAATTTTTAAAATATACTGTTATTCTGCGGATTTACTTAAAAGAGGACAGTGGACATTTTGACATCTAGATCCGTTTAAAAGTTTAGGCTGAAACTCTTAGAAAAACCCGTCTATCCACTCAACTTTTGCATTAGATTATTTCATTCAATATTCTTTTCGAATTAATCCATTCCATATTCCGTTAAATTATTACCATCATGGCTGATTTAAATAAAGCAACTTTATCAAAAGCATTCTACTACTTTGTTCTTTTTTATTGCATCCAATAAATGTATATTTACATTTGT